TGACCTTGCCCTGAGCTGGCATTTGCCACTGTCCCTCCTGGACGTTGGTTTTGCTGGCTTTCTTCTCATCTTCCTACCCAGCCTGGGGCTTGCCTGTTGTCTACTTCCAGATGTCTGTGGTTTGTCTTCTAGAGCTGCTAAGCCCTGGAAAGAAAGAGGGCTGGTGCCCTACATCCCAGGAGTGGGTCTCTGCCCCAGAGTCACCCCACCGAGTCTCAGGGACTTATGAAGCCATTCTGGAGTCTCTGGAACATTCTGGACCTTAGAGACCTGTCTGCAGGGAAATTTTGGTTCTGGGGCTATGTCTTGTTGCTGCTCTGGGATGGAGAAAGAGATCTAGGGATGAACTGGAGTGAGGCCACTGAGGGAGGATGGATGTGGCAAGTTTAATTGAAATCCTCCTGAAACCAGTGCCATCCCAGCACAGTCCTGTAGCTGGAGCTCGTGACCTCTCCCATCTCCACTGGCCTGCTGCAGCTGCCTGACCTGGTTCTGGGCCTGGGAAGCTTGCTGACTTAATAGGAACAGGACAGCAGGGCTTTGGTCATGGCTGTGGTGTTCATTTTTGGAGATTTGGTCCCAGGCACAGGAAGGGGCAGAGGGACACCAAGCAGCTATTTACTCTGAGGAGCCCTTGAGGGCCTTTTTATTTAGCAAAGATCTATTTGTTCTGAAGCTTTCTAAGTGAACATGGCTACTTACTTTTGGCTTAAACCATCAGGACACCTGTGATTGCTTTGAAAACTCGGGGTGGAGTCCCTTGAAACTGGGGCAGCCGCATGCACTCTTCCCCCAGCCCAGGCTTGCCAGGCCAAGTGTTCCTCAGTTGACTTGAGGTCTGCTTACCATGGCTTACTCCCTGCTGCTCACATGTGCACAGACTGTCCCAGTGCAGCTCTGATCAAGCCTCGGGGTTATTACAGACCCTTCTAGCCTGGTGACGAAGTCACAGGACAGTGGTGCAACAGCCACCCTGCCTGAAGTACAAGACCAGAGCTGCATGCTGAACTGTCTTCAATGCAATGCTAATTCCCAGGCCTAGTTAGACCCAGGCATCAATCCCCTGAGTTTTTGCTTCTGGAAACAACTTGAAGTGCCTGGCTACCTTGCATCAGCCCCTGGCAGAAAGAGTTCACGTTGTGGGATCCAGAGGAGCCGTAGACAGAGCCAGTAGTCCTTTGTACCTATGGTCACCATGTGTCATAGCATAGTCCAGTGAAGACTGAGTGGCCGCAGATGGGGGACATATGCATTGTGCTTTATGTGTGTTTGTTGCCACTGTTCACCCTCTGTCCCTGACCTCCTCCCTTCATGGGACATCTGGCATCATTGCTTCCACCCAGTGCCTGCTCAGGCTGGCTGTGCTGCACATGGACACCTGCCCATAGAGGAGGGGTATGGATAGTCAAGACCAGGCCAGGGGTAAGTGTGGACTTAGCCCTTGCTTTTGGGCACTTAGCCACTGTGGGATGGCCTTAGTGATCAATCCATTACCCAGCACTTTCTTTGCCCTTACCTTCTGGTCTAGGACACATGGCTGACATCTCTCTAGGATCCATTTTTTTAAAAGTTAGTTTAATTTTATGTTATGTGTATGGGTGTTTTGATTACATGTATGTCTGTGCACTGCATGCATACCTGGGGCCACCAGAAGAGGCTGTCAGATTCCCTGAAACTGGCATTATGGATGGTTGTGAGTCACCATATGGATGATGGGAATTGAACCCAGGACCTCTTGAAGAACAGCCAGTACTCTTTAACCACTGATCCATCTCTCCAGCCCCCACTTTTGACATTTGCATTATGGGAAGGTAGACTCAACCTCCATGTTGCTACTCAGCTTTAGCAAACTTAAGACAAGCTTCACCCTGAAGTCATGGGCCCTGTGTGTTGCCCAAAGCATGCCCAATCAGCCTCCTTTTGAGGTTAGGCAGCCTGCTCAGCAGGTAAGACCAGCTGGGGTACAACATGAACCCCAAGTCTCTTGTGGCAGTGTGAACTACCAGAAAGCTCCAGTGAGTCCAAATTCAAAGACCCCTCACATATACAGTCTTAGATGTGGGCTCCGTAGATGTCCAGCCCACCCTTTATGGTGTCTCCCTCTGCTCTATCCTGCAGCAGCTGCTCTGCCCCAGCAGATTCTCTGGCCGTAGCTGGACAGTTACAGTCTCCTTCCGCACTTATCACTGCCCACAGGGGTGTGTGCAGATGTGTATCTGATTGATGGGATATGCAGAAACTGTGACTCCTAGTTCCAGGTTCCAGAAGTTTCTCTGTCTGCCAATGGACTCTGAGAGCTAGAGTGACCCATGTCTGTGTTTGCAGGTGAAGGAAGACTGGAAGTACGTGGCCATGGTCATTGACCGAATCTTCCTCTGGATGTTCATCATTGTCTGCCTGCTGGGCACTGTGGGCCTCTTCCTGCCCCCCTGGCTGGCTGGTATGATTTAGGGACACAGCAGTGGACAGGCCTGCTTGGCCCAGCTCCCTGGTCTCTGTAGGGCTATGCTACTTGTCAGTTACCCCCATCTTCCAAACCTGCCATGAAACACCTAGGAGAGAAATGCTGCTTCTCCGGACCGAGAAGCTGGCACTGGTTCTAGTCCAGCCATGGGCCTGGTTGGAGCTAGCTGAGGGCTGGCACAGGGCAGAGTTACAGTCTGAGCCCCTGTTTAAATTTCTGTAGAGCAGGTGACAGTCACCCCCCCTGGCCTACAGACAGCACACACCCATCTGTGTCTCAGAGAATGATCCAATGTTGATCTCAGTTTTCTTGTGGGGCCACAAGAATTCATCCCTCTTCAGCAACCAGAGCCCGGGGGATTCATCAGACCTAGGAAACTCCCACTGTGCCCCTGCTGGCCATATCCCCTCCCTACCCCATGGTGTGCTCCCCTCAACCCTCCAGACTGGGCTGCTCTCTGACTTACAGGTATCAGGTTCTGTTTGGTTTAGATTGGGGTGAATTGGTAAGAAGCAGAGCACTGTGCTATGTGGACGGGCCCCACTCACAAGAGAACTAGTGCAGGCCCTCACAGCAAGACTGAAGCCCCATGGGAGCCCTGCATCCACCTCAGGGTCACAAGGGCTCTATAGTGAGTACTTCCTAGGACCAGCAACCCCAGGAGGGCAAGAGCACTGGGAGTCTCAAGGTTGTGAGGGAGCCAAATCACGTCCAGGTCCTGGGCTGTAGGTCCCCTCATGGATCTCTCTTGATACCCCTCCATGTTTCTGCTTCTCTGGGATTAAAAGACTGAAGGCAGGACTTCTCATCCTAGCCCTGTGGTGAGGCCACAGTTCCCTTGAGCACATCTTGTACGAGAGACCTGGGACTCTCTAGGCCAGCAAGAGTGATGGGAAGCTCCTACAGTGTTGTGGAATAGAGTAGATTGCCAGGAGACTTCTAAGCGAGCCAGCTCTCTAACTCTGTCTTGAGAGCCACAGACTCAGCCTGCCTTGTACCTAAGTTGTCGGGAAGACCTGAGGGGCTCCTCTTCCCTTTCCCAAGATAGCACCAGGCAACCTGGAGAATCCCCAGTGATGGGGTAGGAGAAGCACCTGCTGTGCCCACCTCTATGAGATTCCACTGGGTGGAGGGAAGAACATGGGAGACACCCAAGAAATCATCCTGTGCCGTGGTTGCCTCTCCGCTGTCCCATCAGCCAAGTGGGTTTGGCAGAGCTGGGCCCTGCACCCTCAGCCCATTGGTCCTAGGCCCTGAAGCCGAGGTCCCTGTTGGGATAGTTCTGGGGACTGAGTAAATGAAGAACTTAATGAAGTCTGGAGCCAACACACCAAGCTCCCAGTAGATACAGCTGCCAACCCATGGTACTACTTGCCCATTCCAGCTGAATGATGTCAGGACAGAGGTATGCCAAAGGGCCAGTGCTGTCTTTACCTGTACCTGCAGGAAAACCTGCATTTAAACACAGGGCAGCTGGGCATCTCAGGGTGCTGCTGGGAAAGGAACCCTGAGTTGGAGACCCCAGGACATTCGTGTGTACATGAAGGGCATGCAGAGGCCTGGGTTTGAGCCCTGGATGTTCTAGGCATCCCCTAAGGGCATCAAGGACCCCATCTGCCATGTTTCAATCTGCCCTCACATCGCTGACTGACTGGGTCACTATCCCCCACACTGGAGCCCTCGGGACATTGCAAGATAACCCTGGTGGGGAAATTCGTTCCAGAACCTGGGAGCCAAGGGGAACACAAGCCTCGGTGAGGAAGGCATCAGACACGCCTGTCAAATGTGAGCTCTACCATCACGTCACATACGTGGCCTCCAACCACAAGATTTGCAGGCAACAGTGGAGATCAGGGCAAGGTCACGGTGGCACACTGTGCGGGGCTGCTGTGCTCTTCTCTTCTGGGTCAGAAAAAGCGAGCAGCTGGATGTTCCTGACAGGCCATCCCCACTCGCACCCAGAAGCCAGAAAAGGAAAATAAAGCACCGTTCTCCCCAGGCCCTTCAGCTGTCCTTTTGTCTGCTTGTTTCCAGTGTTGATCTATGGTCAAGATGAGGTTCAGTTAGGGCAGAGTGCTTGATTTGAGGCCTTAGGCCAGTGAGCTTTAAAAGCCAAACAGCGTGGCCCCAGTCCCTCTGATTTGTAGACAGTGTCTCCCCAAAGTTCCCAGCCCTCCCATTCTCCTCCTTCCCATGGACAGCATCAACTCAAATGTGAATCCTGGAGACCAGTTGTGCTGGCTCCTGGTCATGTGTCCGGGATCCCATGGACTCTGCGATGTCTGGCTTCTTTCACTTGTGTGGCCAGGGCTCACCTGCAGTGCTGTGTGCACGAGACTCATTGCTGTTGTGTGCTTGTTGGTTCTTAGTTGCTGTTTCTGTCCGAATAAACCGAGTTGTGGTGTCTCTCCATCAGTGTGTAGCCCTGCTCTCATTCCCGAGTTCCTGCGTTCATCTCTGTGGGCACGTGTTGCCATTTCTCTTTGTGTTAATCGTGTTTCTTTGCTTTCTGTATGCTATGATGTCTTGACATGTTGGGGGCCTATCAGACGCAAGACTGCCGCTTCCATGGCTGACCAGTTTCTGGTGCTCAGCTTGCTTGGCGCCTACCCACCTACTTGGCTGATGGTACAGTAGTACCTATTCCTTACAAAACTTACACCGAGACAGCCACAAAGGCAAAGGCAACTAGAGATCCCTTTGTAGCCTAGAGTCTGAGGAGGTGTCCAGACTATCACAGGCTATTTCCTCTATGCAGTCTGAGCCGCTCACAGAAACCCCCGTGAAGATGGTGCCACTTCCTTCCCTCATCCCTTCCACCTACTGATGGACCTGGTATCCCCTATCCCCAGGCAGCTGCCTGGCATGACAACTTCTTGGTAATTGCAACTGACACCCTTCCTGTAGTGCCATCAACTACGGGAGTCTCTTGTCTCCCTGGTAAACTGAGATTTGGGCACAGAGCCTTGGCATCCATCCCCAATAGATAACTCATCCCACAGGGTGGCAGTGACCTCATTGTTGCCATAGCTCTTGGACACTCGTGCTTTTCCACTAGAAACGTCTGAGTCCAGGGCTTCATACTCTGGGCCACCTGCCACCCACACAAATTGAGATCCATCGGCACAAAGCCACTAACTGGTCCTGGAATTGCCCTGACCTTGGGGGGGGGGGGGACCTGGGAATCCCTGGTATGTGTCCACGGTGTACGCACAGGTTTTTGTTTTTGTTTTTCCCAAAAGCTACCTGAGAACACGCCTGGGCTCCTGCTGCTTGATTCCCGTTTCTTCTGTTTCAATCTGTGCCAGTTGAAGCTCCCCAGATTGATTTGCTGACCCACAGCTGGAAGCATACTGCTCAGGACACAATGCCAAGGGGAAGGGTGGGATTGTCAGGCACTGGAGTTTGTGCTGGGATTTAGATGATTCACAAACACTTTCCACTCCGATGTGCTGTTTGCTCTTTCTGTTTGCAGGTAGGAGTTTCCATTACTTTAATCCTGCCTGACATTTCTTGCTATTTGCTGACCTCCCGGGTGACACACAGATAGAATACACAATCAGCGTGCCTGCACACACTTTCTTTCTTTCTGTGATTGCCTATGCTGCCAGTACCCAGTAGTTACCACTCTCCACTGAGTGTATCCATTTCTGCATCTAGCTTGTGTGGGTTCCATCCTGTGGGCTGTACTCCTGTGCCTGGCTTCCTCTCCTTAGCCTGCTTAGGATTCATCTATTTACCATGAACAGCCAGTTCTTACGTGCTCACTGTATGGCTGCTACACCATTTATTCATTCATTCTTTTTGCAGTGGACATTTGGGTTGTCCCAGTTTGTCATTGTATAGGAAGTGCTGGTGTCGAGGGATTATGATCTGCATACTTGCTTTTCATCCCAACTTTGGGAGGTAGAGGCATGAGGGTGAGGAGTTCAAGGTCACCCTCAACTACACGTTGGGTTTGAGGGTTTGAGGTCAATCTGGGCTATGTGAGACTTTGTCTTGAATAAACCACCACCAACAACAACAAACATATCTAGGGCTGGGGAGGCTGCTCAGTGGGTAAAGTGTTTGCCACGTAACCATGAAGACCCATGTTCAGATCTCCAGCACCCATGTAAAAGCTGAGAGTGGTGGCGGCTACCTGTAAACCCGTCAGACATTTCCTGCATTCCCCTCGGGCAGGCAGGTTCCCAGGGTTTGCTGGTTAGTCAGTCTAGCCAAACGGGCAATCTGTAGTTTCAGTGAGTAACCATATCTCAAAAAATAAGGTGAGAAGCAATAGACATCAACCTCTTGTCCCCACAAGTCACAGGCACATAAACTCATGCATGCACACACACACAATAAAAGTTATAATAATTAAAAAATGTATTACATGTTTCTATTGGGAAAACACACAAGGCTAGAGTGGACTTGAACACCATTGTTGCCAGCTGGGCCTGGATAGCATCTCTAGAGCCTTCTCTTAAATAACAGAAAGCATGTTTACTCTTTTCAAATGTGCATGGGACTCTGGCCAACCCGAGCATGTGCTCCTGTCGCACTGAAAAGAAGTGTGACAAAGTTGAGGACTGTGTTAGCAGTATATTACCTGACAAGTGACGAATCAACTAGAACACCATGTCTTACGTTTCAGTGGAATTTGGAGAGTTACAGCAATTTCTGCCACCCTGGGAGATTATTGTTTAATGCGTTCTATCCCCTCCACAGAGGAAAGCCTGATCTAATCGGTCACTTTGGACACTTACTCTGCTGGTTCTTATTCTAGAAGCTGCTCCTTGCTTATAGCAAATACTTGTGCTTCAAAGCCTTTCTGTACTGATCGGAAACATCACTGCCTCCACCTCCTGACAGCACATAGAATGATCTTAGTTTAGACTGTTGCTGTGTGACTGCCCAAGGCGGAGGGAGGTTGCTGTCCCCCTGTTCACAGTTTCCCCAGTCCTTTGCAGAGGTCGCCATGGACTCCCTCCTAACAAAAGCTTCTTCCCATGAGTTTCAAAGTGGGTTTGTGTGTTACACCTGGAAGTGTTGTGGTCCTTGAAATATCCTTTGTCCTAATCCTTAATATGAAATTTGGCATTTTCCCCTCTGCTCTCCTGGAACCTCATTGCTGCCTCGGATTTTCATTGTCTGGTAGTTTGGGCTATAGGTTCTCCCCAGGAGGATTTCTTGATGAATGTTCCCAGTCTTTGCAACATGTTGTATGACATCAAGGACACATTTCACAACCCACTCGTCAGCTCTCATGCCCCGTCATCAGTCTGAGATCTTAGGCCTTTCTCTGATGCTCAAATCTTCAAAGTCTTGTCATCCCCAAATGCCAGTGCTCCGTTTATTGCTGCTTCTTCCCTCTGGGCCTCACGTGAGGCTGCTGTCACAAGCTCCCTGAATCTCTCCTGACTCCCGGACACTTCTCTCCTCTGATCCTGCAGCTTGCTGATGGTTTCAACAGCATTCTCATCTCACTGTGTCTCCTGCTGACCTGGTTTCTGTTTCTTTTTCACACACAGTCCTTCCTTCATTTATCCCTGTGATTTGGGGCTTCATGTTATTAATGTCCTTCCTTTCCTCCATGGTCCATTGTGTGTTTTAAAAAATTAATAGACCAAAGAAAACAGAAATTCCTCTTTGTCTGATATAGACTGTTTATTTGTCTCAGTGTTTTTATCCTCAGCTGTTTCCTCCTCCTTGTCAGTACACGCCTAAACCTGCATAACTGCTGTTCATGATTGGAGTGTGAGGGTTCATTTATGCACACGTATGTATGTGTCTTAGAATGTATGTGTGTACATGCAGGTCCAGGAGGGAACTACTCATTGTTTATAACAGCTTCTTTAAGACCAGTGCTGCACACATGTGCAAACACATGCATACATGCAGTGACATATGTACACACAGAGACATGCATGCACATAAACATATGCAACCATAGGCACAGGGAAACATGTATGCACACAACATTGCATAAAAACACATGTGCATATATACACAGATGTGCATGCACCCACAGATACTATACATGCACGCAGAGACAGACATGTATGCAGGCATTAATACATCCATGTACCCACACACATTGAGTTGTGGTACACTATTCCTTCAGTCAGTGTCAAACATCTCTTGTTCCTTGTTAAAATGTTTACCCTTACCCCAGTGATGTGGGTTTCCTCTTTGTTTCTGGACTTTTCTTGCTTAGCTACACAGATGGAAGTAGTGGGCCAATTACTTAATATTTGTTGAAAAAGGAAACAGAAGTCTCTGACTCAGCTGTTCAGGACTGGGAATGCAGGTGTCATGAATTCATGCCATCCCGGACCCTTGACTGGAATGGTGGGGTAAGATGGAAGGCTTGCATGATCTCTCAGGGTGGAGAGAGACCCAGAGCTGAGGTGCTGTTGAGGGACAACCTTGCTCTGAGACCCTGAAGACAAGAGGCCATAGATACCAAGTCTTCGAGTGACATCACCACACTGGGAGCCAAGCACAGAGGCTGAGGGAAGTGAAGGGAATCTGGACTTCTTGGACTGGGGACAGGGGTGGGTTTTCTCACACCCAGAAGCAAAGGGAACTGAAAGAGACAGTAGGGCTGACGTGAGAGCACTGCTCTGAGGGAGAGACACTGTCAGGAATGGAACCCTGGGAAGAACCAAGCAGATAGGACATGTAAAGGCCCAGGGGTAGCCATAGTAGACAGCCTGCCATGTTCTACAATTGGCAGGTGGTCTGGATTTTACCCCTGAAATGACAAGGAGCCCTGAGAAATGGAAGTCATAAGCAGGTTTGTGCCTTAATGGGGTGAAGATGAGCAGTGAATGAGCAGGTAGTCATTTGCTGCCTTGGGTGGAGAATGGAAAGGGGTCAGCACAGGATCCAGGCTGAGCCTTGATGAGGCCCAGAGGAAGGAGTCTGGGCTTTGAGGAGGCCCAAGAATCCTGGAGTTTTAAGTGAATAGGTAACATGAGTGGTGGGAGGCAGCTCCCAGCAGTGACCAGACACCTCACATAGGCTGATGAGCAAGCAGAGGTTTATCTGAACTTGGATGTGCTACAAAGAAGGGACTTGAGAGGCGCTGCCCTTTCCCCTCCCGACTCCTGCTGCTTCAGGGTCTTCCTCTGGTTCCCCTCGCCATCCCTCCAGGACACAGTTGTTCTTAGTGTTGAGACGAAAAATGTGGGTGATGGTGTTGGGGCAGTACAGAGTGATTTGGAGTGGCAGAGGGGAGGTCCTGGCAAGAGAGAAGGGCAGACACAGCTGGACTGCAGCCTAGGAGAGCATGGCCCAGCCTCCTGGCACCATGAGCCCAGGCTTCCCCAGAGTGACAGAACTCGAGGACTCCACACACTAGCTTTTGGTGTGACATGGGAACAGAGCAGAACTTTGGGTTGTTCTCTGGTCTCCTGAATAGGGACAAGGCTGCCATACTCACCCAGTGCTCTAGCTTGTCCATTTGGTGGCTCCCCACTCCTGCACCTCAGCACCCCTGAGCCCTTGTGCCTACGGAGTCTGCTCCCAGACACCTCCACCTCCATCGTCTACTTGAGACAATGCTGTTGTTGCACCCGTCTGAACCCATGTGAGCCCACCCGTGCCCCTTGTGCTCACTTGGCTCACCTGCACTTGTGTTCATAGAACTCACCTGTGCTTACCTGTACTCACGCCCACCTGTGTTCACTATACCCTACCCCCCCCACACGTGCAACTATAAACACCTCCTCAGGAAGATTTGTACATGGGAAGCTTGCTCAGGACATCCAGAGAAAGGAAAGAGGTCATCTGGTGCTGGATCCTGCCCACCCCCCCCACATCTCAACTCTATCACCCACACTCAGAAACCCCAAAGTACTCTGTCTGAGACCTCAGGAGCTCTCAGCTGGCCAGGTGGTCACTGGGGTGCCTTACTGAGGCCCAGTCTCTGTAATCCTGCCTTCCCTCCTCCAAGGCTCATGAGCACCCACACTCCTGCAGCTCAAACCTCTGCTCTACTCTGTGGCTCCTCCATACTTGCTGGCCCAGTGGGGGTCTGCAGGACAACCAGCTTCACAAGTGCAGATCTATCCCACTCTCATAGACAGTGCCCCTTAGATGGAGGCAGCACCATCTCCCACCCTCTCACTGTGCAGCCCAAGCAGGTATCTCCACTCCAGATGCCCCTCCTTCTTGCTCCACGGCTGGCATGGTAAGAGAAATTCACCTGTTCACTCCAGGGGTTCTGGGGTCTGCCCCTCCTGCAGTCCAGGGCTGCCCATGTGGCTGATAGCTGCAGGCTCACCTGAGAGGAAGGGGGGACATTGCAGGACCAGGAAATGTAGCAGCTTCAGCTTCCTGTTCTGTGCCCTGTCTGTCCAGGGGGAGGCTGGGTCCTCTCAGGGGAAGCATGAGGCTCAGCCCTTGGCCAAAGACTGAGCCTCATGACAGCAGCACATCATGTCTTTGAGACCCAAGCAAGTACCTTAGTGGGGACTTTACTCCTAAATGAGGCAGGAGGGTCACCTGTGGGTACCCCAGGCTGTTCCTGGTTCATTAAGACATCTTTGGGGTAAAGGGACTGATAAGGAGGAAACACACACATACAGGCACACACACAAAAGTATATACACCCATGTGTGTGCAAAGAACTAACCACTGTCTACTTCTAGAATCCTTCCTAAGAGCAGGAAGCCTTGTACCTTGGTCCTCAGGATGGTGGGCATGTCCCCCGTCTCCAGGAAGTAGAGCCTTATTATGTGATCCAGGCGACTCTATAGATCCAGGTTTGCCTGGCTGTGCTGTCTCCACCATGAAGGGCATTGGGGGCCGGGCATTCTCATTGAGGAAGGGATTCAGCTTCAGCACATGTGCTGAAGAAGAAGACATCAGCTGGGCCCAGCCTTGCCGGTAAGGATGAGGCAGGGCGGGGTGGGCTTCACTCACTCTGCATGGCTGACTCGCAGGCCTGGCTCACCAGCTGGAAGATGGTGGCAAGGGACTGTGGCTCTCCCTGGAAGGAGGACATGGCTTTGGGACCCATGGCAGGTGCCACTAGGGAGTCCCAGTCTCCAGATGACAGCCATCACCCACCTTCTCTCCTCGTTCACCCTTGGACCCTGGTAGACCCTGTAGCAGGGGTACAGGGAAAAAGCCGTCAGCACAGACAAGGAGCTGCAGACATGGCAGCATGCGGCAGGCTTGACTCCGCACAGGCCACTGTGGTGCCAAAGCCCAACCACTACCAGGGTCCAGGAATGTTTGCCCTCAGCTCCAGCCCACAGCGAGCACGTGAAGCTGGACATCCACAGCAGGAACAGTCCCAAGTGGAGCTGGGAGCGACCTGCAAAGAACCTATCCCCAGCTGTACATTTTGTGCTGGGGAGTGTGGGCAGAGGTCCCAAACAGCTGAAACGCTGCCTTGAGAACAGACCCTCCCTTGACCCAGAGGCCGGCCTGAGCCAAGAACTCCTACTCATTGTCCTGCTTCTTCCTCTATGTTACGCTATGGAGCCCACTTAAGGGGCCCTGAGCTGCTGAAACCCTACTCCTCTTGGTTGAAGGCTAAGGTGGCCACCGAGGGAGCTGGATCCCCAAAAGTCAACTGCTGCCTCCTTCCAATTGTCCTCATGAAGCCATGAGCAGCTCTGACCAGGCCAATCTTCAGTTAGGGCACCCCTGAACCTGTGCTCACACCAACACTGTCGCTTGGCTGCCTTGCTGGGAGGTAGGGGGTACTTACTGTTGGCCCCACAGCCCCTGGGGGTCCTCGCTCCCCATTGGTGCCCCTGGCCCCTGCCAAACCATGGAACCCCTGCAAAAAAAAATGCAGATATCAGGGTTTGAGCCCCAAGGAGTCTTCCCTTCCCCAGACTTGGCTTGATATCCAGGGTCCCATTGCCCCACAAGGTTAACCCTAGCTGCTCTCAGGCCTTGCTCTCCTCCCCAGTATGCTCCAGGTCCTGTTCCCAAACCAGTGTCTATAACAGACCATTAATTTTCATCCAGCACCCAGGGCAGACCCTACCTATGCTCAGTACTCCATACAGGCACTCCACTCTTCACTCAGTATCCAGGATAGACTACCCACCCCTTACCCAGTTGTCCATCCATGTTTATTCTGCACTGAAATGCTCCCTGATAGGCTCTGGGTGCTCTGGCAGAAACACAGTGGACTTCCCCCAACCCCAGAGAGTAGTCCTTGCAGCATATCCATGGATACGTTTCAGCTTCTGGCCTGAGGTACCCTCTCAAAGGTTCACTGGGTACAGAGCTCAGAGTAAAGAACCCTGGGATTGAAGAAGGAAAGTCTTCTCAAGGTAAGGAAGCTCCAGCTTTTCTGCAGGGTCACAGGGCTGCCTTTGATGTCCCAGCTGCTGGGAAGTCTGACAGTAGGAGCAGCATCACGTCCTCATAGTAGTCTAGCCACCTACTCTACCAGGCCCAGTCAGTCCTGGTACTCCTGCCCTGTAGAGTTAGGATATAGGTATGATTGGGCCTGTACAGGGCTTATTTCCATAGGAACCTGATCCAGGCGCAAGGGCCTTTTCTGGGGTAGAGTTGGAGTGCTCCCAGGTACAGACATTCAGATGCCATCAGAGCCCTGTGGAAGGCTGCAGCAGGAACAAGTCCCTCCTCCAAAGTGGTCTGGACAGTGGCAGGTGATGTTCAGTGCCTTTCTCCCAAACTAGCTTTTCAGCTCCAGGGAGCCTTGGGGATTCTGGGCAGAGCCTACCCTGGGGCCAGGTGGTCCAGGCAGGCCAGCAGGTCCCTCCAGTCCCCTCATTCCCTAATGGGCAGAGGAGGAGAAAACTGAGATGGGGGCTTATATCAGTCCTTGCTTTTTACAGTGCCCACCCACAGCCCCTGATATATTCTTCTCATTGGCATTTCTCTCCTACCAACTTGATGCCCTTTGGGTCCAGGCCCTAAGAAGGTGGGATATACAATTGCCCAGCTTTGATTAGAGGAGCTGTCTCCCTTCACCCCACCCCAGGGTGGCACCATTTATCCTTAGTGTGGGCTGAGATGGCTTTCTTCCTAGCCAGGCCTTAGGGAGTAGGGAAAAATGAAGCCTCAGGTGGAAGAGGAAGCCTCCCCACTTCCTCACTCCCCAGAGCCTCTGTCTCCAAGACTCTACCTGGGCCCACTCTCTCCCACTCATCACCTCCTAGGCCTGGAGACAGTACCTTTGGTCCTTGTAGGCCAGTTTTCCCGGGGATGCCTTGCTGGCCAGAGAGGCCCTGGGAAGGAAGAGGAATGGTCCACCAGGCAGAGGCCAACATCACATGCAGAGGAGGGTCCTACCCATATCCTTTCTCTGCCACCACCCTGACCCATTACCTGCAAACCTGGGAGTCCATGGTCTCCTTTCTCTCCTTTGACTCCTGGGGGACCCTGGAGGGGAAGATGGGCTGAGAGGCAGGGAAGAGAGACAAAGCAGAAGAAGATGGGTACAGAGCAGCACCTACCATAGGTCCCTGGACTGTGCGGCCCTGGGTCCCTGGTGACCCTTGCTGACCTCCAGGGCCTTCAGGTCCTGTCTGTCCAGGTGGCCCTGGCTCTCCCTGGAGACACAAGAAGCATTGTAAGGACTGAGAAGGCCTATCCCCTGTCCCTTCCTGTTCTCTACCTGCCCTCAGCACTATCCACCATGCTGTCGTTTCCCTACTAGGCCACAAGCACCTTCACTGGAGAACAAAGGTTCCCTTATGCCTACCCTGAGTGGGTCCTGAGGGGACCCTGTCTGTAGGGCACCACCAGCCCATGGTCATTTATCCAGAGCCACAAACAAGCCAAAATGGCATTGGGATTTGAAGCTAGTTCTTCTATCCCATCCCAGTTTTCCTATTCTGCTCTGGTTCCAAAGGGGCCAGAGGAGACATGCACAGAAACCACCAAGGGGAGAGAAGGAACTCAGTGGGCTGATAATGGGGACAAAGGGTATCTCCTTAAGCTACGATCCCCAAACACCGAACTCGGTTCTCACTAGATATCCAAGCTCTAAGGGACAGGTGACACCAGAGATATTTAAACTGAGATTAGGGGGAACACTTCCAAACTGGTTTTTTTTTTTAATTAAGCAAATCAGTGTTCCAAACAAGATGCAGCAAACTGCTCAGTCTTATTAATGCACAACTATAAATAAAATACCACCATGCAGAGCACTGCCACATACTAAACAGTGATGAGGACCATCACCATGATGGCTTCTTAATGATGCAAGAGTACTTAGCATGTGGGGAAACAGCAAATTAATAGGAAGGAGCTTCAAGAAGAAAATTGCTTGATCATGTCTATAACCACTGAAATAAATGATACATTTTATTTAATGTCTGTTTGATTTGTTTTTTCAAATTTCAAATAAATTAAGATTAAAGGAATTTTGTTATCCCATGAAAATGAATATCTGTTTCAGTGTCTGAATCAGCACTGCATTTAATGAATTACTATTAAGCCAAGACATCTGTATCACCACATGACACCATTTGACCAACACCACCAGGCAAGAAGAAAAAAAAAAAACAGAATTATAAACATTGGGCAGAAGAAGGAAAAGTAACTATGCAGGTGATCTCATGTGAGCCTGAAAAACAGGGATATAAGTAAAATACACCACAAATAAGACAAGTGGGAAACCCTCGGGAAAGAGCCTGTACATACACCACAAGAGAAGCCGTAATGAGAACAGAGACAACCACTTTCACTAGCAGCAAAAGGAAGCATATTTCGGCATGAACCTGAGCCCGTCAACAACGGGATGCCGTGCTCCTGGATGATAGAATGCAAACTCTACAAGTACCGCTTCTTCCTAAGTACAGCTACACCCTGAATTTGGTCCCAGTAAAAACACCAGCTAAGGACGAGTGAGTGCTGCAGTCCACAGTGAATAAGCAAAGAGAACCAGCAATGTTCTGAAGAGGATCAGACTAGGCTGGCAAGATGGAACTCATGTAAAGGTGGATGGAGAGAGCAGATTCCACAAAGTTGTCCTCTGACCTGCACATGCAAGCATGCACACAACCTGCTGCGGGTTGAATCTGCCCTTGTTGAAGTGGTAGGTGTGGAAGCCAGCTGTCATTCATGACGTGCAGTGGACAGGAAAGATTTGGTCAGGCTAGGCTGTGGCCTGGTAGACAAACCAGTGAGGAGGGTAAAGTGTGCTTCGGAGATAGGACTAGGTTAAGATGGTACTGGCTAGCAGGGATGAATCCTCAGGGGATAGGGGCCAGAGGCTAACTTTTTTGAGGACTGGACATAGCTCCTCCCAACTTACACCAAGCAAGCTGCGGATGAACCAACACGTGCAGCTCTAAAATGCCAGCATCCAGAGAAACCAGAGGATGTCCACTTTCTACTCGCAGACTGAGGGAGACTTTTTACATTTTAATTGGATTTAATATGCATTTATTAGTGTGTGGACATGTGTAGAGGCCAGAGGACAACTTGTGAGTGTCAGTCCTGTCCTTCCAGCATATAGGTCCTGAGAATCAAATGCATGTAGGCTAGGTGGCAAGCACCTTCACATGCAGAGCTATTGTGCTCACCTTGGGAGGCCTTTTAAAATAGCCTACAAAATTCAAACCCCAGAAAAGACAGAGCAATGATGTACACTAGACAAAAATTTACCTTAAAAATCTGTACAGATAGCCGGACGGTGGTGGTGCATGCCTTTAATCCTAGCACTCGGGAGGCAGAGGCAGGCGGATCTCTGTGAGTTTGAGGCCAGCCTGGTCTACAGAGCGAGTTCCAGGACAGACTCCAAAGCTACACAGAGAAACCCTGTCTTGAAACACCAAAAAAAATTTTAAAAAAAAATCTGTACGGAAACCAGTCATAAACAAGGTCAAAGGGCATACAACAAGATGGCAGGGAAGTCACAAGTCACTTCAGCAGCACAGCTGACTCCAAAAAGTTAGGACTCCCACTAAAAAGCAAGTAACAAACAGGACAGTGGAGAGTTGGAGGACACACTCCTAACAAAATCCTGGCAGCTTCTGAAAGGCACCTAAGCTAGCGTAGCAAGTTCCAGGCTAGTATGGGCTACATAATGAGAACCTCTCGCAAACAAACAAAACTTCCTAGTTATGTCCATTTTCACCCAGCAGACTGCCTAACATCAGCTAGTTATCTGGGAGAGGTCTGGAGAGCAGATGGCTCACCATGGGAGAGCAGGTGCACGTCGTCCAGCTTCCAAGGACAGCTGACACTGTGCCTGTAAGGACACAGGCATGCATCCCTGAGGACTCTCCAGCTCCTGCAGAATGCGCCCACACAGCATCGCAGCACCTTTACAATGGAGGGGGCTGAACACTCATTTCCCTGATCAAAGGCTGACTATCTATCTACGCATGTCCACAGTACAAAGACCTCAGCCAGCTCTATCCGAGTTCACACAACCCTTCCCAAGAGGCACTGTACCAGGGTCAGGGCAGGACAGGATATGGGGTGAAGTCTTACAGACACCCCAGAAGGCTGAAAGAGGTGAAGGTGTCAGCGCAGAGGAGCATATTCCAATAGCTGCCACTCCTTGAATGCCTTAAACCCTGTACATGTGGCATTGTGGCCTACCAATCTAGAATCAAGCAAGAATGGCACCTTGTAGGCCACAGGGGATGGTGGTGGTAGTACTGCTACTGAAGTACACTGCCTTCCACTTCACATTCCTCAGACCAAGACCCTTATCCCAACACACATAGACCTCATAGAGCCAGACCCCACCCTGTGTAATGAGACCAATTCTCCCACTCCTAGCCAGAGGAAAATCATGCTTCAGTGGACTATCCTTTAGCTGGATTATCTGCCAGACTCCAGCAAAAACTCTGTCATTTCCACAGTCAGACTATGTTTGCTGATACCAGCAGAACCCCTGATAAGGGTAATGGAGCTCACACAAGCAATTTTCCCAGGGTTAGCCTGGTTTTGTCTGTCACCATGATGCTGTCTGAACCTGTGGTTATCCCTGCTGCTTTTACAGTAGGCAGGGTTCTGAGCCCAGATTCAAATGGAGGGAAAATACTGTCTATATTTGTCTCTAAGTAATCCCTAATAAACTCATTTTACTCATAAAGATCAACTTTAATGAGTCATTCTTTGGGCTGTTGGTGCCACCCCAGTTGGTACAGATATAAATTTTACATCTCCAAAAAATTAATTTTACATCTTGCCACACTCTGACACACCCACAAACCTCTGCAGAGTCAGACCCTCTCTCCAACATGCCCATAGACCCTGTAGATGACACAAATTCAGAGGCTAACCATGTCTGAAATCACTTTGGAATTCAGTCTCCTATGTGCTGTGGATGGAGGAGTTACCCAGTGTCTATGGAGGGGAATGATGAGACAGTTGAAGAGCTAGGCAATCTGGACTCCCAAGCCTCAGTTTCCCCACCTGTTCCATGTAGGTGATCCTGCCTATAAAAATAGGTGAAGAGCAAATATCCACTAAATACTGGGTTCAAGGCCAGATGTCCTGCAGGTGATATGGGAGCCCAGAATAATCCCTGACTTCCTTGTGATATAACACCCCTGCTTTTCTGATGCCCTTCCACCTGATACAGAATGCCATGAAACTTGATCTCTGTGCTCTGAATGCGTGGGGCCCTCCCACTGCAGATCAGATCAGGCATATTGCTCCTGTACTTCATAAGACCTACCTTGGGCCCTGGGTGTCCCTGCTGTCCTGGAGTGCCATTCCTTCCAGGGAGGCCCTGTAAAGATACAGACAAGACTGAATACCAGCCCCATCATAATCTTTAGTCCCACTCAGCTACCCCCATACCCAGCCTCCTCCAGCCCTGGACGCCTATGTGTGTTGCTGGGAGGAAAAGGATCCTCCAAGATCAAGGGTATCCTTACTGACCTCCTCTTCACTGCTGGGTACCCACTGGATTAAGGCAGATCTGAGGTCACACCCTGGGCCTATATACAATGAAGCCTGTGAACCACCAAGTGCAAAGTAAGTGCTGTTGACAGGTGTCCTGCAACCACTGACTTGGAAGCATTTGCAACCTTGCAAGACTGGCCCAGAAGCCTTGGGCTTGCAGAGAGAGAACCAGAAAAGGTATGAACATCCTTTGAGGATACCATGGCCTGCCCAAGGTAGAGGGCTTATGGTGCGGGCTAACTCCTTTCCAGTACCTAAGGCAGAGCTGCCTGCAAGGCTATGGCTCACAGTTTGCCACTTCATAGCCCACCAACCACTACCAGCATAGTCCTGGAGACCAGTAGGACCTGGGCTCATTCCATCAGGAACATGGAGAAACTCTTGATTTCCTGCCAGAGAAAGACCAGCATCTGCCCACAGATGGAGGACATATATAAGAGAGAAAAGCTCAAGTAGTGTGCAGAGGGGCTGGCCAGATTGGGCTGCTGGGCCTGATGGCCATAGAAGAAACCTAAGGAAGCCTATCCTGTGTGTAACGTGGCTGGGGAGGGCGGCTGGTGGGTTTGGTTTCCTGAAAGCTGGTGTTGAGGTCCACCAATGGCAGCAGAAGTCCCTGGTCACCTCCAGAGGAGAAGACACCGGACTCACCGGAGGGCCTTGGGGCCCTGGCGGCCCAGGGGTCTCAGAGGAGCAGGCACAGGCAGAAGGGAAGGCTGGGCATGTCTCTTCATCCCTCTGGAAGAAAAGAAATCATTTGTTCAATGGACCCTCCTTTGGATCTCATCCGATCTTAAGACTCACCATGGCCAAAGACACCTGACTCTAGGACACCTCTAGAGTCACTGCCAGAGGTAGGACAGGTCAGAATGAAGGCTGCTAAGTCCTGTGTATGCAGCAGGCTCAGTGTGCCCCCTCCTGGATACCCATGGGAGCCTTCTATCTCCTTTTCCCTTCTCCTCCCACCCTCCTAGCATAGCCAAGTTCAGGGTGGGTTCTCAAGGGACTAAAGAAGATAGCTGCAGACCTAGGATGCTGAGGAGAAGTCCTCAGCAGACCTAGGATGGCCCCACAGCCTCACTGAATGAGCTTCTACCTGAGCCTATAGAGAAGAGGGAATAGCTTCTCCTTAGAGCTGACCAGGGACTTCTAACTGGCATAAAGCTGTTATTGACAGAAATGGGATGTCATGCACATGTCACAGTCATGGCAGCTGCTATAACTGCAGATGAGGCTTCTTGGTATCCCCCCAAATGCCTGTGGGACTTTCCTATTCAGGTCCCTGGCCACCTCATCCAGAAAGTCTGCTTTCACCTCTCTCAGCACGGGTCTATACAGGCCATCTACCCAAATTCTGTAACCCTTAGTGGCACTCCCACAGGGCCAAGGTACAGTGTCCAGGATCTTGTTTCCACTTACCAGTGCAGGGAGTTCACAGCACCTGTCCTTCTCTGCCCAGGTGTCGCTGCACATGATTTGCAACATCTGAAGCTGAAACTGTGAAGCAGGGGGAAAGTCAGGCCCCGTAGGAAGAACCCACCCATCCTATGAGATAAGGCCCAGACTCACCGTGGCTGAGCTGCTCCGTGGCCCCCTGGCCTTAGCCAGCCTCCCTAGTGTGATAAAACCAGCTGTGGGTGGGCTGCCAGCATCCCCAATAGGTCGCTCAGCTACCTTCCGACAGTCCACGTAAAGTCTGACCTTGGAGTGGCCCACAGCCACATGTACCTGCAGAAACCACAGTGAGTCTCTCACCCCAGACCAGGTCAAAACAGATTAAGGGGGCCCAGCATGTAGGGCCTGGGGTCAGATCCCGACTCCACTCTGGGACCTACTGGGTCTCAACTTCCTCAGGGAAAGCTACTGCAGGAGCCTTCCAAAGAGAAGAATTTGCTCTCTGACCCAAATTAAGAAGGGACCATCAGAACAGAGGAGCACCAGGGTCAAAGGCCCTAGATGGATCAATGCTTGACTCTCAAGGGAGACAACCACATGCAGGGAAGGCCAGACCAGAGGGTTGGAGCCTGCAGGGCTCAGGCAGACAGTTCCCAGGACCTTGTGGAAGCTTCCGAAGAAAACCTTCTTTGCATCCTGCAGGTCAAAGGTGACCTCCTGCAAGGCTGCCCTGGGATCATGGTTGAAGTAAGTCAGAGATTTTCTGCCAGCTGCCAGGGAGAATAGGGAGCAGACGAGATGGTAAGCTGGAAGAGGGTGGCAGTGACAGAACACAGGTCCTACCCAAGGCCCAAGTAGGGTCTCCACAATGCAAAGCTATGGTGCTATCTAGGATATCTGCTCACACTGATGATGATGGGCCTCCATGCCTAGTTGCCTAGGGAGACCCACAGCTTGGCCAGGGCGTTGGCATCTTTATATGCCAGGAGGTAAAGAAGGTAAGCAGGGGTCCCATCCCTCCCAACTGCCAAGGGTGATATGGGGCCCAGAGTCACCATCCAGGAGAACCCCAAGGATGGGCTGGAAGTCCTCAGCCATCATCTGCCACAGCGCAAAGGCTTCTCGGGGTGTTTCAGGGAGTAGGCGCACAAGGAAGACAATGGTGTGTTCTGGTGGCAGAGCTGCTGGGTGGATATCACTGGAGAGACAAGGGGTTGGAACAGATTTCAGAGGACTGAACTGAGGTATTCCTGTCTCAGTTTCTCCATAAGGAACATGGGAGTGTAGCAGAGCATCCCCTCTACCCAAAACTGTTAGCTTTCAACAAGAAGTGCTGAGGCCCCTGGGCCAACAGACCCTCTGCTCTCTGAAGCCAGGTCAAGGCTGTAGTGGAAGTCACTGTGCAAGGGCTGCTGAGAACCTTATGCTCAGTGACACTGTAGGTGAGGGGCCGACCAGGGAGACTCCACCAGGAAGGTCCCTGGAGCAGTCCTAGGACTCAAGAGCGGCTCCCACTGAGTATATATGCTGAGGTATCTATCAGACTAGGCAATAGGGGAATCTATGCCCAAGCTGATCCAGCCTATCTAAGGGTAATAAGGGCAAAAAAATGGAGTCTCGAGTCACTCAATACAACTATTCTTATCAATCTGCAGCTCCCTGTTTGACCTTCACCTGCTCTTAGGATAAAAGCCAAGAGCTAGAAAAATACCACATCAGCCATGATCCTGTAGTTCTTTCTTCTTAGAGATAGGAACTCACTACATAGCCTGGGCTGGCATTAGACTCATGGTGATCCTTTCTCAGCCTCCTGAGTTCTAGGGTTCCAAGTGCTGACACACACAGAACAACTCTACAATTCTCTAAACACAATGATCAGCCTCTACATTCCACCACAAGAAAGGATTCCTCTACTCTCAGCAGCTATCAGGGTGGGGGCCACTTGGGCTAAGTGAGCACTCCAAGGAAGTTAGTTATCTGTCCCACCCTCTTTTGGAGCCCCAGAAGAGAGAGCTCCAAGAAAAGTCACTCATTTGAGGAGAGGAACAATTAAGGGGAATCACTACTGAGAATGTGGGTGACTTTGATTTAGGTTTTGTGGTAAGACTAGAGACAGGGATGGCCGGTAGCAAAGACAAGCGGGGAAGGAAGAGGCTGGTGAAGGAAACAGATAGTCATTAAGATGAGGGACAGCCAAATATGTCAAGCCTACATGAGGGCAAGGGACACTCCATGGCAAGGTCAAGCACAAAGTACGTGTGGCCATGGCCATGCCTGCCTCAAAGGACACTTCTCGCAGGACAATGTAAAAATAGATCATGCAGATAGAAAAGCTCTTAACATCACTGTCACTGCGGAAATGTAAAAATAGTGAGATACCACCTTGCTGTCAGGAAAATAAAATCTATTGGGTGTTGGTAGAGCGAGGAGAACCTGGAACAGTGTTGAGACTGTAAATTAGCATAGCCACTGTGGGAAACAGAATGGAGGGTCCTCAAAAAACTAAATAAGAACTACGAGATGATCTGGCAAGTCCATTACTGGGTACAAAGGAAATGAGATCAGACTTCGTGGTCACTGTAGCTCTATTCACTAGAGCCAAGAAATGCAATCAGTCAACATGCCCATTGCATGAGAGATGGAGCCAGGCTCTGAGGACAGAGTGGTATGTATATGCCTCAGGGTAGGAACAGTAGGGGATAACGGATGAGAAAGCTATTGAGAAGCAGTAAAGTCCAGGGGAGGGAGTTCATGAAGAACTAGAGTGTGGGTATACAGAGGACAGGTGCAGACCATCACCAGCAATGGTTTTACAGTAACTAATACACACTATGTTTACCCTTATCTAACCATTAACTAATTCATGCATCTATAGAAAAAGGTGGTGAGTTTGTGTGGGTCTCAGCTGAGTGGACAAGAAGGGCCTCCCCAAGCTCTCTGCTTGACTAGGAAGCTTCTGCATGCACCTGACCAAAGTTTCTAACTGTTTTCATGAAGGAGCATGAACAAGGACAAAATCTCCAGCTTGCTGCCTGCACCTGGGCCCCAAATTGCTGTGGGAGCCCATGGGGCCATGCTCTGTCCACTTGTGGATTCCTTTCCTGCTCATGGGAGTATGTGGTAGTGGTGTGAAGGTCAGAGCTTTTCAGTGCTCCTTGCAAGCCTCTGTGAGGCCTTATTTATACTTTTGTTACATGACCAGGTCTCAGTTCTTTTAGGAAGCGAGCCTGCTGCTCAGTCATACTGTATGCATCAAAGTTCAGGTTAATGACTCATTCATGGGATAAGCAGGAATTAGTGTCTACTAGATACCAGGGACCTCATTGTCTTCTCATGGCTTCTTGGAAAGACCCAGTTCTCACAAATCTAGGATGGTGGCAGATTTGCCCATCAGTCTACAAAGAAGATACACAACCACTTAGAGGGAACAGTGCCATGGCTTATCTGCAGAATTTGTGATTGTGAATGATCTCTGAGCTACATAGGGATGGCTTCAAGTTATGCTGGACATGGAGCCTAATCCCACACACAAGACTTCATTAATCTGTCAAAAGAAAATTTCTGGAGTAAATAGGGCTGAAGCCAACCAGTTTATGGTCTACTGACATAGTTTCAGAGACTAGTCAGTTTTGGACCAGGGTCATGGAAGAGCCACAAAGTATGTGGCAGGCCCCATATTGAATCTCCCCCCCCCCATTTTGTACAACCTCTTCTTGTACTCCCAGTTCCCTCAGCCCCTCGCACCTGGCTCGCCGCATGAGTTGAGCATCCTTGAAGACCGTGAAGGTGGGGGCCACACCCAAGGCTGAGGGCTCCATGGCCACACCTCGAATAGAGGCATACTCCTTTGCCACAAGACCAAAGGCCACCATCAGGTCAAACCCTGGTGAAACAGGGAATGATGACTAGGAACAATCAGGGAAGGGGAAGGAACAGGGACAATTCCACTTGGAGAGGGGTGGCAGGATGTAGAAGAGAGGACCTGAAAAGATGGCTTGGGATGGGGTCACCAGAACGATGAGAGGCTGGAGCAGGGTCTTGGAGGTGGCCATGGGCCCAGCACTGCCTTGCCCTCCAGAGGAGAATCTAGCTCCTTTCTAATCAGGCTGACATCTATCCCAGGCCATCTGTTCCTCTTCCTCAATTCCAGGTCTGACACTGGGGAAATTGCTCACCTTGGAAAGCTATTTACAGGACACAATGGAACCCCTGACACTCAGACCCAGCCACCTGCCTCATACACCTACCAAACAGCACACACACTCTGCCCCAACCCAACTCCCAGGTTGCTCTCTTTAAGGAAGACCTTGCTGAATTCCCCTCTAGCCAGCACAGAAGCTTCAAGCAGCCTCAAGAGCCCAAGGACTCTCTATGGTGCAGACCCCAGCTACAGGTTGAGGCTGGCATACAAGTCACTGGGATGATCAGTGTCATGGTGGGTCCTCCAAGTACCAGCTCCTTTTTCAGCATTAATTGGCACAAATCAGAGTGTGAAATCACATATGTATTTGGTGTTTAACTGCACAACTAGACCCAGGGTGCAGAGGCTCAGGCTTTCTGAGGCCTATTTCAAGGAAGTAGCCATACCTGCCCATCTGTCCACTGGCCCTGCATTCCATGGGCCCTACCATTCACTCATCTCACCGCTCACCATCCCTGCCAGTTTCAGGGCAGTAGAAGTCCCAGACAGACTCTCTTTCTGGGATGCAGGTGAGATACAGCCTTCATATCACAGAGCTCTGTACACTCTACTTTTAAGGCCCTCCCTTGGTGGATAGAATCCCCTGACATGCCTCATGCTAAGCATCTGTTCTCCACCCTCTTGCATAGTACTTATGAGGACTCCAGGCTTTGCATGACTTAGCCCACATGCCTGGCAACAGGGAGCCACCTAGGGCCCTAGTGGAGCTAGCCAGCTCTGCCTCTGCCCTGCACATGCCAATACTAACTTTGGATAAAGCAGGAATAAAACTTCCCTGACAGCGTCGTAGGCTACCTGAGAAGGTACAGGCCTTGATCAGTACCCTATGGTTGATCCTAGATCACGAAAGGTCTGTTCCAACCTTGGAAGGGTCAAGAAAAGCAGAGCAGGCAAACGACAGAGCAGAGCTGGCACAGATATACAGAACTTACCTGAGAGGGGACTGTCCGGGTGCAGGGCTGGACAGGCTGCTGAGAGGACACAGAGGGTCTGGTGAGTCACATCAAAGCGAGCCCAACTACCAAAAGGACCACTTCCCGGGCAATGTCAGGCCTCTGGTGACAAGGCAGACCTGCACAAGCCTCACTTTCCTCCTTTATGCAGTGCCCACCCTGCAGTCTCCATTCCTCTCTGCCATGCCAGGACCTCACTGAGTGAGCAAGTACCCCTGCCTACCCTGTGCACCCAGGGCCAAAACCAAGGTTCCCTGGGGACCACACCCAAAAAGTTATGGGCCCAAAGTGAGCCCCAAGTACCAGATGGTAGGGCCAGGGAGATGACTGGATACAGTGAGCAGCACAGGCCTGGAGGCAGAGATACAGGCTGACCCTATAGCCAGATACAAGTCAGATGAAGTCACAGTCAGGACTCCAGGCATAGTGGTCATCCACTGAGCAGTGAGGAACCAATCATCATAGGCATTTGGGCTATAACTGAATGATCCAAGATGGGGCACTAGAGTTGAGGCAGTGGCTTCATGGACTCTGAAGGTCTTATGCCCTGAGCAGCTGTGGCTCTCAGGTGATTCCTCACAGCTGAGCCTGCCCTTGTGGGTTAGAGGCTACCAGGCCACAAGAGCCTGACTATGTCCTGTGGCATCAAGAACAGGTCTCTCCTAGGTCAAACTCTCCATACTCTCTAGCCATTTCCCAGTCACTCTGATCCAATCTGTTCTGTTTATTTTGGGTACCCCAACTCTCCATGGCCTCTCCACAGTCTGTGTTGGGCCTGGGGCCTCACTGGCTCTGGGGTCCACTGATTTCTAGTATCTGGCCTAGTCTGCGGTCTGACCAGATCTGAGGTCTGACTAGGTCTAGCATCTAGCTTGACCTTGAGTCTGGCTTGGGTTTGAGGTTTAGAAGGAGCTGCCTACTAACCAGTCTTGGTGCTTACTAACCTGTGCGGTATGTGGCAGACACTGCTATACTCTCCCCTGCTCCATAGACAGCTGAGACCAGGACCCTGTACTTGGTGGCAGACAGCAGGTCAGGAAGTACAACATGGCTCCTGGTGCTTGGCACAGAGATCTGTGGGGGGTGGGGGGAGGCCTCTGAGCCTTCCCTCTTAGACTGCCTTCTCCTTTCAAGGCTGTACTCCTTCTGCCCATCTTTCCCTCTATAAAGAAGCTGCTACCCACAAAGGATAGATAAAATCAGCATCTAAATCCCTGGGTAGCTCCCTGCTCTTTATAGACTCACCGATTTCTCTGGTCCAGAGCCTGAAGCCAGTGTATAGTTGAGCCGGTAATGTAGAACATGGCTACTTGGTGGTGTCCAGCTGACCTGTAGGCTGTTGGGGGTCTCCGAGGACAAGACCAGGTTGGATGGGGGGCTCCTGCTTGCTGAAGCTGTCCAATGCCACAGACAATGTGGAATTCAAGGCTCTCCAGAATGGAGGTACCCATGGCCAGAAGGCCAGCCAGTCAGCCAGTCCTGCATCATCTTATGCTCTGCCATGGCCAACCCTAACAATGCCCCTGCTGAGTCCCCCAATACTCCTAGGAGGTCTTTCACAGAGGCTGTGTCACCCATGCTTGGGAATTTGGAACTTAGCCACACCAAGAGCCTGTACCCTTTGTGGGCTTGGATCCAGAGGTCCAGCCCAGGGTCTCAGGGACTCAGGGAGCCTGCTTGCCAGTGGGAGTATGGGATCCTGGGCATGTGGATCCAGGAGGGTCTGGGTCCCCTCTGTGCTACTCCTGTCCCAAGCCCATCTGAATGGAAGAAAGGCCACCTACAGGGGATGTAGCGGAGGGACACAGGGTCACTGCGAGTGCCGTCCCTGTAGTAGGCAAGGATGGTGATCTCATATTCCACATGACTCATCAGGCCAGGTAAGATGGCTGTGTCAAGGGTCCCTGGGACAGAGATCTAAAGAAAGGAGAGTCCAGGGATCCACCTGAATTATAGGGAAACTCACCTCAAGAGGCTGGCTCACAGGCTATGGCAGACAGGTATTCCCAAGATATAGGACTTGGATGGACACACAGAGTCTAAGCCCCACTTGGCCTTGGGATCTGGGGCCATAGGAAATTCCCTGAAAGCTCATCTGCCCCTTACCTCATGGGCCTTCCCCTCTCCCAAGGGCATCCACTTGATTTGATAAACAAGTACACCAGACAAGGTGGTGGCCACCCATGACAGCTTGACTGCATCTCCCTGGAGCTCCGTTACAGACAGCTGGCTAGGACTGGGAGCTTTCTCTGGAAGATGGGGTGTAGAAATGGAGTATAGCGTGCTGACCTGAGCTGTTGCTTTCAGATAAGGGTCAGTCATACTGAGGAATGTCCCTGACCTCTTGTCTCTCCTCAGACCTTCTATCACATCTGCCCAGGTGCTGGTTCCCACCAGGCCTAGCACAGCCAGAACAGATGCCCAATACAGGTCCTTTAGCTGACCATAAAGACACAGTCCAGCTCCACCCCAACCTTGACTTCACTGACTCACTTGTGGTCACATGGCCAGTCAGCATGGAGGAACCACCCCCGAAGTAAAAACAGGTGACTCGGACGATGTACTTGGTAGAGGAAGAAAGGGGGCCCAAGGTGGCTGAGGTAGTATTCCCAGAAACCTGAGCCTGTGGGAGGTATACAGAGCAATCAGGCACCTGAGCCCCTGACAGGATGGGGACCCAGTCTCAGGACCTATAGCCATGGCTAGCCTATGACTCCCAAAAGAGGAAAAATGTGATCAGCTATGAATCCCCAGAATGGCCCATGAGTGGAGACTCCTCTCCCTGCCTCACCTTTTAACCCTACAAGCCATTCCGCCTCTAAATCTGGTGTGGCCACAGTCTTAGCATGACATCACTATTGCATGTATGTGCGCATATGTGCACATGTGTCTTTGCTTCAAGTCTTCCCGCAATTCCTGACAGACACAGCCCCCTTGAGGGCTGGGACATTATCAATACTGTGTCCTTTGCACCATCTCAAAGGCTGTGTAACAGGAGGCTAAACAGATATGAACTGAAGGTGTCCATAGGAAGAACATGTGGAGCGAGAGCCTAAGGATGTGCTAGGCTTCCAGTGCCTGTGTGAATGCTCAATCAACCTAGGATTCCGGGTCCCCCAAGAGGCCCTTGGGACTTTTGAGCCCCTGCTCTTACCTGCCCAGAGTGGCTGCCATCACTAGAGACATAGCTGACCTTGACCAGGCGCACAGGCCTCTGGGCTTCCCAGGACACACAGGCTGAGTTGTAGCTCACATCTGAGAAACTCAGGTGTCTTGGGGGCCCCAGGGTAGCTGCAGAGCATAACAAGGCTTTAGGGGCTGGCATTCCTATGCTTGGGACTGGGAAAAGGGTAGGAAGTGCTAGGACTGAAGAACATATGGGGCATCTGTGGTCACCTACCCTGGAGCAGGCTAAAAAAATAGAGCAGAGTATCTGCTATGTGAACAAGTGGCCTGGGAAGGATACTCACTGGTCCTGGCATTGATGCTCCGGACCTCACTGGCCTCTGGTCCCCGAAGACTCTGCACTGAAATCTCATAGTCCCTGCCCGGCTCCAGGCCATCCAGCAGTACCTCAGGCTGCCCCACGTGTACCTGGCAGGGATATGGCAACAAATGTCTCAGCACCAAGCCCTACCATCTGCCCCACCTGTCTCCCTGCCCCCACCTCTCACCTCTCTCCTCTGCTCCTCCCCAGGGGAGGCAGCCAGCAAGTACTGCACCAAGTACTGAGTGGCTCCAGCAGAGGGCTGCCAGGTGAGGTGGAGGGTTCTCGGTGTCACTGAGGCTAGGGTCAGTGCCCCCGGTGGAGGCAGAGGTGCTGCGGAGGGGATGACCATCAGGGGACTCTTGTGAGTGTGGCATATGCAGAACTCATAAACAAAGGAACCCTTTTTTCTAATGATAAGACTTTCACTAGGTAAAGTTATACAGATGTGGCACAGCCAGGTAGGCAACCACCAATCAGAGCACAGGATTGAGTCACTTGTCTTAAATGTCAGTGGACTCTGTTTTTCAGCTCACAATTCTGGGGGAGTCAGATCATCTTACTGGCCTAAAGCAATTTGCTACAAAGGTAGCAAGGGATGTAACCTCCAGGTTGAAAGACACACACACACACACACACACACACACACACACACACATACACACACACACACACACACACACGCACACACACACGCACGCACGCACGCACGCACGCACGCAAAACATATAATACATGAAGCCATTTCTGTGAATGACCAGAAGAGGCAAATCTAGAGGCAGAGAGCAGAGTCAAGGTTGCCAAGGCTGAGTAAAGGACCTGGGGTGCCAATGCAATGTACAGTTTCCTTGGGAAACAAATATGATCTATGATGGCCTTAGTGTAAATAGCCTTGAATATACTGTGCTGTTGAATAATCCTTCTGTACACTGTGTGAATATATGTCGATATGATTGGTTTAATAAACAAGCTGACTAGCCAAAAGCTCAACAGGATAAAGTTAGGTGGGAAAGCCAAACTGAGAATGATGGGATGAAGAAGAGTGGAGTCAGAAGAGATGCCAGCCAGCCCCTAAGGAAGCAGGATGTATAGAAAATGAGGTAACTCTGGGCAGTAGTGGCACACACCTTGAATCCCAACACTCGGGAGGCATAGCCAGAAGGATCTCTGTAAGTTCAAGGCTAGCCTGGTCTACAAAGCAAGATCTAGGATAGGCACTAAAACTACACAGAGAAACTTTGTCTTGAAAAAAGCCAAAAAAAAAAAGAAAAAAAGAAAGAAAAAGAAAAAGAAAGAAGAGAAAGAAAAAAAGAAAGAAAAGAAAATGAGGTAACAAGCCATGAGCCATGTGGCAAAGCATAGATAAGAAATATGTGTTAATGTAAATGTAAGAGTTAACTAGTAACAAGCCTGAGCTATTGGCCAAACATTTATATTAAGTTTCCAAGTCAATTATTTGGAAAGTGGCTGTCAGTTATTGGGGAGCAGGCTGTTAGGACAGGAAAACTCTACCTACAATACTGTTCTTTTTTGTTTGTTTATATTTTTGTCTTTTGAGACAAGGTTTCTGTTTGTAACCCTGGTTGTTCTGGAACTCACTATGTAGAACAAGCTGGTATTAAACTTACAGAGATCCACCTGTCTCTGACCCTCTAGTTCTGGGATTAAAGGTATGTCCACCACACCTGGCAAAGTCCTGCATTTGCTATCCCATGTTCCCTGTAAGTGGGTGAGCATGGGTAAATGCATTCTATCTCAATGCAGCTGTTATCCAGGAATCATGGTGGGTTCAGCAACAGCTGAGAGCTAGTGGCCTCAGCCATGTGCTGTTGCTAGACAGGATGGGAGCCTTAGGATATCTTTTTGTTTTTTGTTTTTTGAGACAGGGTTTCTCTGTGTAGTTTTGGTGCCTGTTCTGGATCTCGCTCTGTAGAACAGGCTGGCCTTGAACTCACAGAGATCCACCTGTCTTTGCCTTCTGAGTGCTGGGATTAAAGGCGTGTGCCACACCACCAGGCTGCTTTAGGACATCTTAAGCAGCAGTAGTAATGAGCCATGTGCGACACCACTGCGTTCAAAAGAGGATACCAGGGTCAGAGAGGCTTGGAATGGAGGCTTGTGGGAGCAATTCAGACCCAGGGTTACCTGTAGTTGTGCCCTGATAGTCCCCAAGGGGCAGGACTAGACAAAGGTCACCCCTTTACCTGTGGTTGCCCGGCCTTGCAGGCTCTTGCCAACCCCACTCTCATAGACAGGAAGCACAGAGACCAAGTATTCTGTGTTGGAGGTCAGGTTTTGAAGCTCCATGGATGAGACAGGTCCCTCCACCACCACCTGGGCAGGAAAATCCCATCAACAGGGTATAGGCTTGGGAGACGTGGTACCATCATCCTGAGACATTAGATCCCTACACAGAGCAGAGCAGCACCAGCCACCACGGAGACAGGAGAGAGAGTGAAACAATCCATTTGTCTATCAGTGTGTCATCAAAACCACATCTGGGTGTCTGCAGTCACTGCCCAGCACTCCTCACTCTGACTTGGTCTGATTGGGTGCATCTGTATATAGCTACCAACTCCCAACTCCACCCTCCTTGGCTTTCCTTTCTTTTGTGATCTTAATCATCTGTAGACCTTCATTCTAGTGCTTATCCATAGCTCAGCAGAACCCACCTGAGCCATGCTGGTAGAGTCCTGTCAGCTGCCCCAGCTTCCAAGGAGAGGCTGAACCAGGGGACCCCCCTCTTACCTCCTTGGGGGCACCACCCCTAGAAGGCTGCCATACAATTAGATACTTGAGGGGTGGGTATAAAGCTGGAGTCCAAGACAGGTGGACACTGGATGAGGTGACGTGGGTCAGGACCAGTCTGGTGGGCATGGGGAAGGGGTCCAGGGCCAGAGTAGCTGCTGCTGGTTTGACTATGGGGAAAGGTAGTCAGGGAGCAAGTAAGCACATCTATTTGCTCCCCCTGGTGGCCATGTACAGGAGGGACGGGAAAATCCTCTCAACACATCCAAGGACAGATTTCCCTCTGGTTTACTCTACAGACCCTCATGAGCCATGAAAATTGGTGTAGCTTCAGTCTCCCTGTCCCTTGGTCACCGTGGTGTTGTGTCCTTACCTGGACCCCTGCCCTGGATTTTTTGGCAAATGAGGCGGCTGAGCAGAGCAGCTAAGGTGGCCAGCTGAGGGAAGTCCAGCACATTGTGGACAGTGATGTCCAGTGGCTGGGATGCCAGGAGCTTCAGTTCGGCTTCATCGGCATTCTTCACACCTGCTTTGGGGAAGTGTGTGCCAATAGGCCTCTCTGAGACTCTAATCCTATTTACAGACAGGACCATAGAGGAGAGACCTGCCAGAGTCCCCAACATATGGGAGGGCACAAACTGATGCCTTGTGTCCTAGATCCCATGGGGTATCTATGGGACATAGGAATGGGCCAGGAGAGGCCAGTGTGCTTAACTCTGGGAGCTCTGGGAAGAGGACCAGACTATGTGGATGCTGGTGCCAGGTGTCCATGAAAGAGGGGAATCCTGGGGAGAGAGAGTCTCTTAGAACAACTTTAAGTTTCCTTCCCATCAAACAGGGCAGTGAGTGTGGTTGATGCCCCAAAGAGCACCAGGAACAATCCTTGCTTGGGGAGCAGAGGGGGAAGGTAGAAGAGTCGTCAGACACAAGGACAGCCGCCAGGCAGGGGACCAGTCTGAAGGCTACTTGCCCTGTGAGCTGAAGGGTGGAAGGAGTTAGGGGAGTGTCATGGCAAAGGAGGCAGAAACAGACTTTGCAGATGCTGCTGCAAGGTGCAGCCATGCACCTCTAGGGAGCAGGACTTACTCTCTGGGCTCTATGGGTGTGGAATGTGTCTGTGACCCAGAGCCCACCCTGGCCATGAGCATTCCCACCCAGGGCCCAGGCACTATGTGGGCTCACCCACGACAAAGACATCAATGTCCTGATCCTTAAGAATTCGGGCAGCTGTGCGCACATCATCCTGGGACTTGCCATCCGTCACCAGAATCAACACCTTGGCTGCCTCTGGACGGGCACCTGCTGCTGGCTTCAGGTTCTGCCCCAGGACATGGGTTAGGGCGAGGCCTTAGGAACATCAGGGACAAAGTGACAGGCAGCCACTAGGACCTCCTCCTCAAGTGCCTTCTCAACCACAGCTGCTCCCAGCACTTGATCCCAGGGCTCTCTGTTCACATGTCTTGTCCGGCTAAAGACACTTGGGATCAGGGACAGCTCCTCCTGTAGAGGGTACCCATAACCCAGCAAGGCCACGCTTATGTCTTCTAAGAAGCCACCTGCAAGGCTGACTGTCCAGCTGAGTGGGACCCTGACAGAAGCTGCCTGTGACCAGTGCAGACACTTGCCCTCAACAAGATGCCGAAAGTTCTCCACTTTTGCTAAATGTTGGGGCGGGTGGTGGAGGTCGAGTTTGCTCCCTGAAGTGTGAAGTGGGCTTAGCACCCACCCATCACACAAATGTTCACGGGTGGAAGGGGCATAAAAGGAGGTTGGCCAGAGGCTTCAGAACAGCCAAACCCCAAGGCCCAGGCATACCTGTGAACGTGTTTCCTCCCCTATAGCGGAGGCTGTGTACTGCAGCCAGCACCTGCTCCTTGGTGCGGAAGGACTTCAGGTCCCACTCGGTCTGGGGGTCTCCACTGTACTGAGTCAGACCTGGGGGTGGACTCTGGTTGCTGGGCTGAGGGTTTTTCGTTTTGTTTTGTTTTTTAGTCTCTTTATATTTTGCAGCACCAGGGGGCTAGCATGCTAGGCAAGTGTGCTACTGTATCCTCAATGCCAGGGCTGTTTAAAGACCATATCTACAGAGTTGCCTGCTCTGGGTACAGCCTTTGGGGATCCCACTCCCAGGAAAAGACACATTTTCAGGGCCCAAGGCTTTCATAGGGGTATCATCAGAGGGGCTGACTGGGAGCCAATCATTCCTGCAGACTCTAACAGCAGCCCTGGTTCACAGGGAAAGGGAATCAGACACATGATCCGATCCAGACAAACCATCAGCCAGGTTTCTCAACTCTCTTGGCCGGCTTATGGACTCTGGGAGGCGATAGCATTTCCCATCCTATTATGAGGGCAGCTACTCCCCTTCTGCTGGTGAGGACTTAAGAGGTCCAATCTCCCGCAAGGCAAGGCAAAGGAGGTGGTACCCACCTACTTGGACTTTATCTGGTCCTATTTCAAAAGGTGTGATGATGCTGGCCAGGAAGTCTTTGACCTGCTGGAAGTGGCTGTGGCCGATGCTCCAGGACCCATCCACCAGAAAGATTATATCAGTAGGAGTTGGGGGTGTGCAGCAGAACTGGGTGTCAGCTGTGGCAGGTAAGGATGGGTGAGACTTGGCCTCCCCAGGACACCTGAGGTATTGTAGACCTGACTGAAGTCCTCAAAATATCCTTCCCTGGGATCTTAGGGGTAAGGGTTTCCAAGGACTTTGTGTCTCACCAGATTTAGAAAAGCCCTCATGCATCCTAGTTTGGGGTTTCAGCTCTTCTAAGTCCCCTCAGAGAGGGCTGATCACAGTCTCAGGTCTAGGGGTCACCTATGCCTTCCAAGGCCCCTGGCAGCACTATGTCTGTACCTGCAAATTTAGTCCCTGGGCTGATCAGGCTCCAGCACCTACATTTCCAGGCCCAGTTGCCTGTAGGTGGGCACCAGTCATGGGCAGGAGTGTTAGCACCACAGATAGTCCAAACTGGGTAAATTGGCAGGAAGATCAGGAAGGGCTAGTAGCAACCAGAAACTACTTCTGTGGCCTCAGGATCTTCCATCTTTATAGATAAAATGCTCCCTGGAGCCCCTTTCAATTTGACACAAACTGCACCTGGCAGGCCTTATAAGATTTCTAAACACAGCCAGGTAGGTGATTCCTCTGTGGCTTCTGATCCTCAGTCTAAAAGGGGAGGGAGGCCCAGGCATGCCTGTAAGGCCCTCAATAGTACAGTAACATTGTAGTAGAAGACCCAATCCATAACAACACAATAGAGCACAGGGCCTGGCCAGGAGGAAGTAATACCCAAGTCTGAGGACAGAAGCCCTCCCACAGCTCTGTGTTTGGTGGAGAAAGTAGTGTCCTCCTGATATAAGGGGGGACAGGTGAGAAGATACCCTCACTGCATCTGACCCCACAGTACAGAGCAGTAGTCACCTTACCTAGCTTCTCTCGCTTTCCCACAGAGTCTGCAATGTGGCTCTGCCTCTCCAGGTCTGTGGTTGGCTGAGCAGGGTCCTGTACTCCAAGGCCCTGCTTGAGTTTCCTCTGATCCTTATTGGCCACTCCTGGAGGCAGGAGGAGGGGTCACAGCTGCTATCATGCACCTCCCAGACCTAAGCTAGGGCTCTGGGGTACCTGGCCCATGTACCCGAGATTGTGAGTCCAGGAATATGACTGATAAGCCTAAATCAAAGCTAGAGCACGTGCATGGTCAAATACAAACAAGAATTTCTGGCCATATGACGAGAGTCACAAGAAGCTTCAGAAGGCTCTCCTCACCCCCAGGATTTACTCTCACTCCACTCTGACCCACCAAGAATGGGCCTGTCTCTGCTTGAGGTGAAGGCAATACTGGACTCAGGTGTTTTCTCAGGGTCTGAGGCCCCCAGAGGGAAGGAGGTGGGTTCCAGGGTGGGTTCCACCAGTCTCCGACTGCCTCTGCTCAGAGAGTGGCTCTTCAGATCCTCAACTGCAGAGAAAGGAGGGACTGACTGTCAGGACACCAGCCCAGAGTGGGAGCAGGGGCTTGGGGTTTGGGGGTTATGGACTTCCCGGACCTGCCCACCTCATGGGAGGTGAGCAGCGATGTCAGGAACAGGAAACAAGACCCAAGTACCTCACAGGCAAAATGCCTCAGGTCACAAGCCCAGGCCATGAGCTCCCAACCCAGAGGCCTTCCACTCACATCCACCTCCTGTGTGCAGGAGGACTTACTCACAAACTCCCTTCGTGCCAGAAGGACAGGCCCAGAGTCAGTGAGCTCGAAGATCTGCAAGGTGTAGCCCTTGGAAGGGCTCAGGCCACCCACGGTGGCCTTGGGCGTCTTGGTGGTTAATATCAGCTCCTGCTCCAAGTCCCCTAGGTGGAGGTGGAGAATTGTTGAGGCTGCCAAATTTACAATACATGTGTGCATACATGTGGGTCGATGTGTATGCATGCTGACATGTGTTTACTGTACATGTTTGTGCATAGACATTTGCATATGTACTATATATGGTATGCAAATGTGTATATGTGGATGTGAGTGGATGTTTATATGTGTGTGTTTTGCATGTTCACATATATATGGAATGTATGAATGTGTGTGCTGCATGTGTGCATGAATCCTAAGGTAATAGTCTTGTATTCATGTACATGTGGCTAGGTGTATGTACATTGCATTGTGCATTGCATGAATGTAGGTACACAAATGTGCATGTGTGTATGTATGAGTTATGCATATCCTTCATGCATGTGTACCATATAGGTATATATGTACATGCCTATGTGTACATATGGGTGTGTGAATTGGGTGCCTTGAATGTATGTGTACCATACACCTATCCTTATGTATGCACTTGTGTACATGGATTATGTACATAATGTAAGAAATCATCCAAACTAATCCCTCTTGAGGTTAGGGAAGAGAACAGATGAGGGTTGGATTGGAGAGCCAGGAATGGGAAAGGAAAGAAGTTTTGTCAGGGAAGAAGTTTCTTCTTCAAAACCTCTGCAGCGGAGCCTGTCCTGTGGGGGAAGGTCCACTTTTCCTGCTCTGGAATGCTGTCATCTAAAGATAGGGATGGATCCCAGTATTAAAAATCACAGCCAGGCCTGGTGGTGCATGCCTTTAATTCTACCCATTGAGAGGCAGAGACAGGCAGATCTCTGTGAGTTCAAGGCTAGTGTTGTCTACATAGCAAATTCCAGGCTGGCCAGGGCTATACAATGAGACCTTGTCTTAAAAAAAAAAAGTCATACTATTCCAAAGAGAACTATGTGGGGGCAGGTGGGGTAGAGCTGAAAGAAGTGACCTCATAATGGAGCTGGGAGGTATAACAAAACTTATGGACATACTCACAGAGCCTCTGGGTCTCAAACACCAGGGAATAAAAACACTTCCCACCTGGGAGGAATACAACAAGGTTTTCAAAAAGTGGGCAGTCCCCAGACCTGTACCCAGTCCCACAGTAGGCAGTGGCCAGACAGGGAGGCATGGGCTAACATGCTTCTGTAGTTTATAATAATATGTTATAACAGAAGATGGGTTCCAGCTGGCTGTGGTGGCACAGGCCTGAAGTCCAAGCATTCAGGGGGCTGAGGCAGAAGAATTGATGAGTTTAAGTCTAGCCTGAACTATGGAATGAGACCCTATCTCAATTAAAAAAAAAAAAAAAAAAAAAGCCGGGCGGTGGTGGCGCACGCCTTTAATCCCAGCACTCAGGAGGCAGAGCCAGGCGGATCTCTGTGAGTTTGAGGCCAGCCTGGACTACCAAGTGAGTTCCAGGAAAGGCGCAAAGCTACACAGAGAAACCCTGTCTCGAAAAACCAAAAAAAAAAAAAAAAGAAAAGAAAAACAAACTAGGATATGAGCCCACCTTTATAGATGTAGACTAACGACCAACTACCATATTGAAAACATGTTATGAGATTTAATATATCTACAGAATTAGGATTCACGAAGCAGAATAGATAGACAGAGATGTGATGTTCGGTGGCTGCAGCATCACCCCTGAAAAGTGACACAGCTATCAGGCTTGCTCGTTTATAAGGATGTGTGCTGCTGTGTCTAAGGTGGTCACCAGAAAATGAGGGGATAAGTGAGTAACTACAGAGTTCGTGAAGACATGAACTCTTCATCCTACACCTGCCAGCCAACCTTAACTTTACAGTAACAGTAAGCACTGTGGACAGCCATCTGCCATACAATAGAAACACCCATACCACTAGTAACAATCTTCACTAGCAAATACAGCCCAACCTGAACCTGACCAAACTTCAGGATCCAACTACCAATCTGCAGGAGACACAGGGGAGAGAGGGACAAGTCATACAACTTCTCAAAGATGCCATTGCTAGACAAGGACACGGGGATCTGGCTTCTACTACAAGTAAATACCAAGGGGAAAAGAGAGAGGAAAAATTATGTGAGGCACAGGACTAGTAAGATGTATATCTCAGCCTAGTGTGCGGTGCATGAACACTTGGCAATCTCAGTATTCAGGAGGCTGAGGCGAGGGAATTGTGAGCTCAAGGCCAAGCTAGTCTACACAGAAAGACCCCATTTCGGGGGAGGGGGAAGAAGTGTATACTCGTTTGGGGTCCTAATTAAGACTGCTCAATTGTAGAAGGTATTTATTGGATGAGCTGCAAAGTTGTGGTTTTAATGTGGAGGCATACCAATAGCACTTGTGCTGTGTTTGAGTCCTTCCTTCTTCAAGGTGAACAAATACAGATAGACTTATACAATGTCTCAGCTTTGCTTTAAGATAATGCAGCACAGGTGTGTGACAAGAAGGGAAACAAAGCTGGGCGCCACATTACCTGTGGAGCTTAGTGACGAACACCAGGCTCCATCACACTCTGCTGCCTTCCAGGTGTTTAAATTTTTCCATAAAAATCTTAGACCCAAAGAAGAAGAGAATAAAAGTATATAAAAAGAAAAAAATTGGAAGAGTATAGATTTAAAGCCAAATAAATCAATTACTTTGTTAAATAAAAATAGATAAAATGTTTCAACTAAAAGACAAAGATGGGGTTGGAAAGATGGCAAGCAGTTAAGCGCATGTGCTACTCTTGTAGAGGATGAAGTTCAGTTCCTAGACTATGTTGGGTAGCTTACAGCTGCCTGTAACTCCAGACCCAGGAGCATCTGTCTCCTCTGGCTTTTGAGGGCACCTGCACTCATGTGCACGTGTGCATGCATGCGTGCACGCGCGCACACACACACATATAATTTAAAAAGATCGATTGTCTCACTGGCTAAAAAGAATGCTCTGTCGCTATCCATTTAGAAGATTTTCTAAATAAAAAAGAAAACAAATTGGAAGAGTATAGATTTAAACTCAAATCAATTACTTTGCTATTGATTTTATTAGTATTGTGTTATCTCTTTTATTAGTATTTTATATCTTTTGGCTTTGTTGATTCACTTCATTTTATGGTTTTTTTATTTCTATAATTTATTCTCTTTTCTATCATTTCCTTCTAGTCTAGCTGAATTTCTATATAACTTAATATGGATGCTTACATTCTTAGTTTTTCTTTTTTCCTTTTTCAATACTGGGACTCAATCACACCAGGGCCTTACCATATGCTGGACAAGCACTACCGCTGATCTACATTCCCATCCCTGCAATTTTTCTTTAATAACTTATAGAGCTAAAGCTATTCATCTTCCTCTAAGCCACAGGAAAAAAATTAAAGACAGCATCTATGTAGCTCAGGTCAGTCTTGAACAGGGGGATCCTCTTGTCTCAGCCTCCCAAGTATTAGAATATAGATGTAACCTCACCACACACAGCTTGTTTTAAGCCTTTCTTGTGTCATCATGACCCTGTCCCTGTAACTGGAAAGCTAACTGCTCTCTCACATGCTCACTGCATGCAGGATCCAGGCTATTCTTAAAACCCCAGGGAGTCACCACTTCTTCAAAGCATATGTCCTGAGCACCTTGTGTGTGTGCTCATGCTGGATATAGGGAATACAGAGGCCTCTCCAACTGCATCTGCTCCACGTGATTGAGGCTGACAGGGGAAAGAAACATAGGAAATGCAGAAACAGCCCTGCCAGAGAGTGGGAGCCACTGGACGGTGTGAGGAGATGCTAGCTGGAACAGGCTTAGTGACCACTTGCTGGAAAAGTACCATTCCCATTGCTTTCCTTAAGTGGAAAGCCTTGGTCCTGCAGTTGTGAATGAAATGCACTGTCTCTTCTAGTAAAATGTTAAATGAGACAAAGGAGTTCCATCTTTAAAGAAATTTGTAAAAAAAAAAAAAAAAAAAAAAAAAAAAAAAAAAAAAAGGCACATCTGGGAGGAAAAGTCCCTGTCCACCCTTCAGCATTTTCCTAAGATCCAAGTTTGTGTTCAAGGTTGCAAAGGTTGCATCATACTCTCAGAAGTTGTACTCTGTTAATCAACTGTTGTTTTAAGTTAGCCACTCTGTAAGAATGTGAGACCCAGTTCTGATCACACAGAGTACAGTACAACACTTCTTTGGTTAGGAACAAAAATACAGTGGAGCCCCTGACTGGGTGTGCTCACTTACTTGCTTGCTTAAGCTTGGCTATACACCATTCTGCAGAAGTAAGATTCCATGCTTTGCCAAAATACTTTGGACTGCGTGGTCATTTTCTTGAGATCCTAGACCCATTTCTAACAGTCCTAACAGGGAAGAGGAGAGAAAGACTAGCAGGGAGACATGAGCTCCATACCTGCCACAGGTGTCACCTGCACCAAGTAGCCAAGGCCACTTCCCTCTGCTTCCCTCCACTTCATCTGCAGCTGGTCCTCAGGCAGTACTGCCAACCTCAGACGGCCACTTACTGTAAAGACAGGATTGGAAATTGGGGTGCAAGACAGACTTACCAGTGACCAAACAGAGGGAGGCCTCCCCTAAGAGGTTTGAAGGGGCATAGCCCTGGGAGTCTGAAGAGTCTGTGGCCCCACGAAGATCTATGGAGGAAAAATTCTACATCCTTGGGATTATCTATGACAAGGCCACACTGTTAGCTTCAGCAGGAGGCAGTCTAATTCCACCCGAGGGAAAGCCCCTGCTGCAAAGGAGGCTCAGATCAGTACTCAGGGGGGCAGTGTCTACCATGTGATGACAAGAGGTGCAGAGATAAAACAGAAGCTGCTGACCCACTGCCCAGGGTCTTGGAAGCTGCCTTGGGTCTCCTAGTCTCAAGAAAGACTGTAGAAGCAGCTGTGCTTCTGAAGACACTCTCCCCTGACAACTGCCAAAGTCATGCTAGGTTGATGCATCCTTTGTGGGCAGACTGGGTAAAGGACCTCAGCTGGAAATGCGGTGGTGATGGCTGTCTGCTTATGTGCACTCGGCATGTCTGTGTGCACCTGTGCCTATATGTGGGCACGTGTAGGATGCACACCAAGCTTTAGCCCTAGGGATGGCAGTATGACGGTTAGTATTGTCAGCTTGACAGAATCTAAAAATCAGACTTCGAGTACACCTGTGGGGGATTATCTTGATTTTGCTGACTGATGTTAACAATGTGGGAAGACACATTTTAATTGTAGATGGAACTACTCCTTTGGCAGGAGATCCCAGACTACATGACACTGAGATAGTGAGTTGAGCACTAGCAGACATTCACTCCTCTTTGCTTTCTGATGGTGGATGCAATGTGATCAGCTGCTTCAAGCTCCTGGTGACTTCCTTGCCATGAAGAACTATACCTTGACTGGGAGCTAAAATAAGCCCTTTCTCCCTTCAGCTTTTGTCATGGCAACAGGAAAAGAAACAAAGACAGGGTAATCCTGTCATGGGAGAGGGGGGAACCCATGGTCAATGGGGAGAAGGGGCAGCGGGGTCTGTGCGAACCTCCCAGAAAGCTTCCGGACTCTGTGGTGCAGGCAGCTATTTTTGGAAAATGGGGACAGAGGCCTCTTCTAGTCTCCTCAGCATGTGCTGGGGAACAGAGAGATGGGCAAAGACAGAGAGTGTCTGCAATAGACACAATGACCCATTCAGAATGAACTGTTTCCGGATGGGCTTGGCTGTTCTGACAGTGATCTACTGAAAGGCAAGAATGTGTCAGGATAAGGTGGGGGCTCTGACAGGCCAGCTGTGAAAGGGGCCCCCAATTCTGCCCATGAAGAGCCTTCTGTTTCTCCCCTCTTCCTGCAATGTGTTAGAGGCTTTTAGAACTTCCCTCTCAGAGATAGCACAGGCACATGTTCCCCTCCCTAACGTAAGCTGTGCCTCCCAGCTGATTGCTGAACATGTGGACCCTGTCTCTTTGGTTAGTCTCTGAGACCCCAGCCCACCCGAGCCATGCAAAGGGCTGATGAGGAGCAGTGCATTTGTGGGTCTTGCAGAATCACTCTAAGTTGGTCATACTCACAGTAAAGGCTTCCTTCTTATTGAAATCCCAGCCCACAAGCCCACCTTGGGGTTTCTCTGTCTGAACAAAGAGAGCTGAGGGAGAGGGACGTTCCCATGTGGCAGTCACCTCCCTGGATGAGAAGACATGCTGGGAAATGAAGTCTGCTGGGCTCCAGGCCAACCTGAGTTGGAACCCCTGCAGTGCAGTGGATAGTAGTGACAGGAAGAGATGTTCTTAACCTGGGCGAGGCTAGACCTTGATGTAACCCCAGAAACAGATTCAAACCAGTCAGGTGCTATGAGAGCCTTTCCCAGGGAGAGCAGCTGGAGTGGCCAAAGAGGAGGGACCAGATGGAAACTCTTGTCTCAAGACTTGTACAGAGAAGAGGGATGCACCACCTATCTAAGACAGAGCAGGAAGGCCTTTTTGTCTTAGAAAGGAGGAGGCAAGAATCTTGCTTTCTATTAAGCTGTGTGTGTACTGTCTGAAACAACGTTGAAAGGTTTACAGAATAACTAAGCAAAGCATTGATACAGGATTAAATTTGAAGTATGCCAGTAATCTTGAAAAAGCTGAGACCAAAAAAAAGGGGGGGGGGGCGTTGGGGATTTAGCTCAGTGGTAGAGCGCTTGCCTAGCAAGTGCAAGGCCCTGGGTTTGGTCCTCAGCCCTGAAATTAAAAAAAAAAAAAAAAAAAAAAAAAAAAAAAAAAAAAAAAAAAAAAAAAAGCCTCCCCAGGCAAGGCTGAAAGACCACAAGGCCAAAGGTCAAGACAAAAGCTGAGAATGAGGACTCCCCCCTTTGTTCCGACAGCTTGCCTGTTGCTGCTACAGCTCTTACATAGGCATTTAATCTGTGAGGAAATGCCAGTTACAGAAGGTCAAAGGCTTACATCAGGGTTCCTCCTGCAGGCAGTGGGGGCATTGTCTCCTTACCTTGTCCCTGCCCCAGTGCCAAGGTGGCACCCAACAACATCCAGAGGCAGAAGTGGAGGTAGGAGCCTCGGAGGCTCATGGTGAGCAGCCTGTGGGAGGAGAGGCCACAGCCCTTCACTACTAATTCATCTGTCTGCCCCCCTCCCTGACCAGAAAGCTAGTTTCTCCATCCATTCCCATGGACCAGCAGGATGTCTCCACAGACATGTGTGTGCCCAGAGGCCTATGACTTATCATTATGGGGATGGTGACAGAGACTGAGGATCTAAGACCAGCCCTGAAGCCATACTAGGGCATCCCACTGAACAAAGGACCCTTAGCTACACAGCCTCCCTGTGTACTCCAAAGTACCCTCTGCAGGGAACCAATTCTCCCTGAGTAGGGTCCAGTCCAGCACACCTTCCCATGCCCCTTCTGGTGTTTACATCCACAACAGATGTACAGTGGGGATCACCAAGAGTGGCAAGACCTTGAGGCCCCAGAAGCCCCACATGGTGTCTGGGATTGGCTTGGATAGAATCCTACCATTAAGGTCCTCACATTAGGAGGCTTGCCCTCAAGCAAAGGAGACATTTAAGACCAAATTCTGATTAGAGCAGAAGCAGGAGGGCAGGCACATCAGGGACACTGGGGTAGGCATGAGAAGTATTGGGAAACCTTTGAGTTCTCTCAGAAGTTGGGAAACAATGCTTGAGAGGCCAATGGGGTAGAGATCCAAGAGTCCACTGCCCAGGGATGGCGCTTTGGAGGAGGGGGCACACACATGACCCAGTCTAGAATGTGTGGATCTGAGGTGACCAGAGTCCTGAGGAATCCAGATACCCCACCCCACTGAACAAAGGACCTGTAGCCGCACAACTTCCCTGTATACTCAAGGGTACCCTCTGAAAGGAATCCAGCTCTCCCTGAGCAGGGCCCAGACCTGCAGGAAGGCTATAGGCTGATACACCCCAGAGCACTGGTTCTCAACCTGAGTAGTGACCCCAGATGGTTTGAACAGCCCTTTCACAGGGATGGCCTAAGGCCACTGGAATACAGATACTTACAATTCATAACAGTAGCAAAACTAGTTAGAAGTAGCAACAAAAATAATTTTATGGTTGGGGTCACTACAACATGAGGAACTGTATTAAAGGGTCGCAGCATTAGGAAGGTTGAGAACCACTGCTCTAGAGTGGTTATACGTATCCATCTTGGGAATTTAAACTAAGGTCTCAGTGCTATGGACCACTGTTCCATCTGTCTACAGGACCCACATAGATGGCCCTGACCTTCTGGACTCATTCTGAAGCCAGACCCCTCACTACCTCATGGCCAAGGTGGTCACAGTTGGTAAGTCTTCCTCTGCTGGACACCAGTCTTTTTTGTATACCCACAGTTCCAAGTGTCATCTGAGATCTTCACAGGATCCCGAGAACCTGCTCAGGTGTCCAGGCTGAACTTGGTCTACTTGTGAGGTCTCAGCACCTATCCCAATCTTTCCAAAAGGTCAAAGTCACCCTCCAGTATAGCCCTGAATGGATTCTCCAGTGGCTCCCTCACCCACCCATCCAGCCCAGAGGCCATAGATGAGTCACTAACCTGCTGCTCCAGAGATAGTCTTCCTCACTCCCCAATGCCTTTTGATCCTCTTGGCCCAGCTGTGCCCACTGGAAGGCTGGGGTTTATGAAAGGTCCCCTTCCCTAACATCACCACTTGCCCCGCCCTCAAGTCCTTTCTCCTCCCCTTTATCTGCTGCTGCCTGGGGCGTGTTTCCAAGAATGAGATGGTGGTCCCAGCACAAAGGACCCCATTGCATGCTACAACAGGAGTCCCATTAGTAGTCGTAGGGAACAGCAAAAGCCTGTCCCACAGGCTTCTTGAGAATAAAGGCCAGTGTGTGTGGCCCTGGGTGCCAAGTTGGTAGGTGCTGGGCATTAGGAGTCTCTGCCAGTGCACTTGGGGGAAGGACCACTTAGACTCTACCAACCACTAGGGTTTATGATCTCTATTCCCTTCCTTCCTGTTTGCCCTAGAAGCCAGCAAGTGTTTACTAGGAGTAGGCCCATGCCTGGGATTCCCTTGCACTGTCTACCTTCCTAAGCCACTCCAGCCTGAATGGGTTAGGCAAGTTCTGCCCTCAGCAAAGCTCTCCTGATCCATCTTGAATCCCCCATGGTCTAACTCCTATAACTCTTAGCAAGCTGGCCCAGCAGACTAGGCCTGGGACAAAGGGCCCCTGCTCCCACCTGAAGGCATGGCTTGTGAAGCAGCCACTCTAGAGTTCCCATGGGTCCAGCACAACCCCAGCTTTGTTTTCAACTACACATTGGCTTCAACCCACCATATCCTAGCCTGATCAAAGTCCTGCCTCCTTCCCCCCCCCCCCCACCCTAACCCCTAGCTTAGCCCAAGAACCCAGCAGGATTGGAGGTTGTAGAACTGTCAGCCTTTCCTGTCTTACAGGACCCTGTGGGTCTCCCTATTGAGTTGCCCAGATAGGAACTCATACCCAGGGATATGTTCCTTGAAGCTGGATGACTTATATTCCACTTGATCAGAGGTTATTCATGTCTGTGGGAACTGCAATTGCCAGGCACCTCCTGCCTAGGTACTCTTCTCTGAGCTCATCACCTCCCCTGCAGGTTAGGTATGGCTGCCAATTGTTCATAGTAGCCCCTCATACAATACCACCCTGGCCAGGAGACAACCCGAGTTACACATGGCCTTGGACAAACCTGACCAATGACCAATATGTAATCCATGCAAGTGGGGCAGTCTTCTTTCTTGATGCCATGCTGAAAGCTCCTAACTCTGGGACATAGCCCTGTTTCTAGGACCCCAAACAAACCCCCACAACCTGAGATCTAGGCTCACAGTCTCTGCAGACCTTCACCGTGGTCAGATGAAGGAATTCATCCTAGTAATCTCTGGGTATATGTACGTGTGGCCACAGCTCACAGGCATCTTGAAACACCTACGTGCATTTACAAACACCTCAGCACTCCTCTGCACTATGGTCCTCAGGTGGCCCACTCTGAATCTTCTATCTTATGCTGCCTGGTGATGCCCTAGAAGTCCTTAAACCAGCCCAATGTCCTGCTTCCCCTAGCAACGGCATGTGTACCCCATTCCCATACTCTGGGATCCATGCCATAATCCATGCCAACTAAACCAGAACAGAGTGCCCTAGAGTCTGCTCATCTTTCTTCTGGACCACAGCCTGACAGAAGGGGATACCCAGACGGGTGTGATAACACAAGCAGTGATGACTGTGATGAAGTGGCCAGCGGTCACTCAGAATGCTGTCTGAATGGTTTTGCAAAGAGCAAGGCTGACCTAAAGTGCCCTCTTGTCTGGCTGGTGTTTGGGGCTGGAAGTCTGGAGCAAAGCCTGACTTGAGAGACAGATGCCCCTGATGGTCCAGCAGGTCAGCTGCCCCTTTCAAACTAAAGCCCACACTCCCCACAGCTAGCCAGAGGCCAAGACCAATTTCAGCTAAGCACTAACTCCGCCAAGGACACTTGGTGGGAGACCACGCATCAGTATCAGCATACCTCCTGGCCCTTCAGTGCTACCCATGGACAAGTCCCTCTGCAGGCCACTACTCATACAGGGGGCTCCACACTTCCCCACTGGACAGCTCTTAGCCAAGGTCAGGAGGATGGAAGGCAGAGGCCAAGCCACCACCTGCCCCAAGAATGTAGAGTCTCTGGTAAGAGCCCACCAACACGGCCCAGAAATGGCTACCCAAGCCACAAGCTCAGAGCCAGTCCAAGATACCACCAACTTCTCCTCCCCCACCTTCCAAGCTACCTGACCAACCAGAGAGGGAGCTAGGGCTGCTCAGCCCCTTGCCAGGTCAGCTAGGCCCAAAATATCTGACATAAGTCTAACCAGGCCTATCCTGGAACCGTTGCCTCCCTGAAGCCCAGAAGTACACGGCATGTGTTTGTCCACGTATACCAAAGGGAAGGAGTCCTCTAGGGTTTGTGTATGTAGGATATAGTCTGGCAAGTTCCCTACATACAGGCTCCAAAAACCAGCCAAAGGCTCTAATACCTTGACCTAGGCCTTACTCATCCTTTTTCTTGAGAGAGGTTGCAGAAGGGGTCTGGAGGGTTCTGAGTTGTGTCAGAACAAGCCTCAAAATTTGCAGTCCCTAAACACAGTACCAGAGGAAATTATAGGTAGCTAGGGCCATTTCCCACTCCTCAAAAGGCCTAGAGCAGGCAGCTTCCCAGACCAGAACCGGTGCATTTCATCCCCCTTATACAACCCTATATCCACTGAATCACAGTCTCTGCTCTGGGATATACCAGCACTGGTGTAGGTCCTTCCTCCATGCTCAGACTTCCTTGGCTTCTGACCAACTTTCTATGTGCTCCCACAAATCCCATCACTTCTCACCCCAAGTCTCTAACTCTGATCTCATCTACCTGTGGTTGCTCTGCCAGTCATGAGTCCTGGATATCTCCCCTTGCTTTGCTAGTTCAGAGATGTTCTGCGACCTGAATACCTCATTTCTGACCAAGTAGTGTCATGTTCACTTGAGGATAAAGTACCTAGGCTCCCAAAACCTAAGGCCTACCAGTTCTGCAGAGAACTATGACTTCCCAAGGTGAGACAAGCACTGGAACCTTAGGGCCCAGACAGCTCAACTCTAGGAAACAGGAAACATGACACACACAAACCACACAGAGCTTCAGGTCATGCACTGCTGGTCAAACTGAGGGCCAAGACAGGAGTGGGTTTAAGGAGACAGAGACCCAGCTGGACTCTCCAGCCACAGCACACAGCAGTCATGGTATCCTGGGAGGAAAAGGCTGTCACTCCAACCACTGATAGCACATGGGTCTCAACTGCAGTGTTCCACAAAGTCCACAGGGTGGGAAATGGGGCTGTCTGGAGGGACAGCTGCATGCTGAGGAGACATGACCTAGTGTGCTCTGACCCTGAGCACCCTGAGCAGGCTGGGAGAAGGCCTGGGCTGTCGTAGACACAATACATGGCAAAATACCAACAGGTGCTCTGCCTGGATGGTCCCCATCAAGACGCCCCAACCCTGGGCAATGGCAGTTGGCCCTCAGCCCGCCCTCCATGTTCAGGCTCCCCTGTACCAGGTGGGAGTGGCAGATAGGCTGACAATGCTCCCAGCCCTTTTACTCTCCTTTCCTCCTTTCTGAGCTATCCAGGACTGGCCAAGTTCAAGTCTGGTGTCCAGGGAGGGCCAGAGCCCAAGCTGCCATGTGTGGCCATCTGTGGAGTTTGTCCCATGAGACTGAGGGCTGGACAGGCTGATGCAGGAAAGGCAGAGGGTCACAAAGTGAGTAGTCTCACAGCACAGGCCACAAGACGTGGACTTAGGTGAGGGTGTCGGTGGCAGTGCGAGCTCCAGTATTGCTTTTGTCATTTCGTTTCCAGCTTTAAGACTCCAGGCATTTTCTTCAAGGTAAAAAAAAAAAAAAGAACTAGAGCAAACCTTTCAAGTTTTAAAAGACATTTCAACAAAAGCAGATGTCTGGCTTGGCTGACATTGCACAGGACTGCAGTTCCAGGCTGTGCCATGGCTGCAGAGATAGTGCCTGGGTCCCAAGAACCCAGAGTTCAGGAAGGCTGCTCAGAGGACCCAAGAGGCAGATGGATGACATGTCCTCTGAGGCCTAAGAGAAAGCCACCCCACACCAGGCAGGCAGCACCGACTCAAGTCCTGCCTGAGCCACTGTCTTCACACTGAGGTCAAATGAAGGAGGAACAAGAAGGGTAAAGTGCAAACACAGCAGTCTCCCAGCAGAGCTGGGGCCAGGATGCAGCAAGGCTCCTACCAGTTCTGGTTGTCCCAGCCCTCATCAGTGGCCGTAGATGGGGCAGCCTTCTTGGTGGCCTTTGCCCTGACCTCCCCACTGGCTCCCTCCCAGCTCTCCCAGCCATCACTATTGCTGTTCTTGTTGTTGGATGCGGAACCCGAGCCCCAAACATCCCAGCTGTCCGAGCTCCTCCTCCCTGTCGAGGCATCTGCGTAGGTCCAGCTGTCACTGCTTGGGGACTTGGCCTTGGGGGGCTCGGCACTCCCGAAGGTCTCCCAGAAGCTCTGGTCTATGGTGCTGTTCTGGGAGTTGTCTCCACTGCTGTTTTGGTAGCTGTGGCCCTCTAAGGGTCTATTACAGAGAAGAACAAGATCTCAATAGTTGTCACAGAAAGATACTTGTGCTGCCTGTATCCCTCAAGCTGCTCAGGTCTCAGGGGCTCTCTAGAACAAGATTCACCACTTCATAAGCCCAGCCTACGTTTGACCAGGGTGTGGCAAATGCCTACAACAGTTCCATGCTCTCTTCCTAGCTAGACAGGTGCTGCCCTTTCACGTGCTTCCGAGGCACCCTTGTAGGGTCAGAGTACCCAACTAAGTGAGGGACCCTTTTCTCTGAGAGTTAATTTGGCCTTGGTAAGGGTTCACCCTGGTGCTGAGAGCATGGAACTTTTAGAAGGGATTGAGTTCCTCCTGCTACCTCAATCCATATTCCCAACCATCACCCAAACCGTAGGGTATTTTCTAGGGCACTGGGAAAGAGCATGTAGCCTCTGTCCATGAGCCAAGGGCTCTGGTGGTAAGGGTTAGAGGGCAGTCACTCTGTCTCTAGTAAAGGACGATGTGTACAACACTGGGCAGAGGGTGCTAGGTCAGGCCACTAGCTATCTCTCAGGAGCCCAAAAGACCCAGGGCCTGAGGTGGGGACATGGCCTACCTGTCCGATGTGTCTTCGGCTTTCCCGGAAAAGAAAGTAGTAACATCACGCCATCCCTTGCTGCCAACTCCCTGGACCTACAAGGAGACATGAAAAGAAGCTGGGACCCCACTGTACATAGCACCTCTGGCTCTGTAACATGAACAAAAATGGATGTTGCTCTGCTGAGAAGCCCTGGACAAAAACCTGGAGGAGTATCCCATATAGACACATGCACACATATGTATACAGTAACACAGCAGCAGTGCTGAAGCAACACTAGCTGTTGGCTGCGTAGATGCTTACAGCATCTCTCTCTACCTTCTCTGCAGAAGCAGGTCCTGTGATGGGTAGGACAACTCCAAACGGATAGTAAAAAGCATGGCCTTACGCCAGGAGGTGGTGGTGCCCGCCTTTAATCCCAGCACTCAGGAGGCAGAGGCAGATGGATCTCTGTGAGTTTGAGGCCAGCCTGGTCTACAAAGTGAGCTTCAGAACAACCAGGGCTACACAGAGAAACCCTGTCTGGAAAAACTACAAAAACAAAAACAAACACAAAAACCATGGCATTCCCAATGTCACCCTCAATACTCGGAAGGTGTTCAAAAGTTTCGAGCCACCACAGGCCTTGTCTTTACCACAATGCAATGAAGGTCTTCAGGAGGTGTCCTCCACTGCCATCACATTGGGAAATCTGATGACCCCACCCTCATTCCACCAGACTCTGAAGAGGTCACAGGACCAGCAACAGCTAACAAGGGCATTGGCACTTACCGAGGACAGGCCCACAGCAGCCAAGACAGAAAAGAAACACAGGTTAGTGGCTTGCAAGTCCCCAGTAACCAAGCTGTCTCCATATTCCTCAAGCCCTCAGAAATCAGAGGGCAGTGGCCACTGCCTCAGCTGGCCCAAGGCCCTGTGGGGCTCCAGTGTCTGGAATATGGAGACTGGCTTTGGCTGTGCAAGTCAGCAGGGTCACCCTACCTTGGATGCCAACTGAGAGACCCCACTGGACACATCATCAAAAATCCTTCCCTCCTTCACCTGCACAATTTAAAGGGCATCATTAGGAGGACTGAAGTTTCAGAGTGTAGAGAGACCTGTCACATTAAGTTCCCCAAGTTCACCAGGAGCCCATCTGGCTTCAGCTTCATAAGACCTCATCACTACCAAGAGGGCCCTGTGCCTTCCTGGAGAAGCCAACTGCTGTCCAGACTCCTGTTGTGAGGAAGGATGGGGACTACTGACTCCTCCCAGGGCTAATACCCTTCTGAAGATAAGCACCATTGCCTGTGGCCAGGCCACTGGGATAAAAAAGAAGAAGAGCAAGTTCAAAGACACCCTTGGGAACTAACTGGAGGGACTAAGGAGCCCAGAGCCACTCTCGGACCAGAGAAAATTATAGGCAAGATTTTGCTGATCTCCAATACACCCATTTCCCCAGTCAATAAAGAGCCTCAGTGGTACACACAAACACCTTAACCACTGGTGCCACCCATACCTTCTCCTGTGCAGGCTTGAGAACATTCTCATTCAGGCTGTGGCCCAACTCCGAAGCCTGTGAGAAGACATACTATGTGAGCTTTACATGCAACAACATCAATTGCTGGACAATAAGCACAGGACAGCACAAGCTTTGCCAACAGAAAGGAAGGCAGTGGGACGTGGATACACATGGGGAAGCAGGGCCATAGAAGTGACACCAGAATGAAAGAACCAAGATATGAAGGAAGCTCCCACACAATGCTGGAAGCAGCTCTGGCTCCAGTCCACAAGTAAGGAGGACAGACATGGATCTGCTCACTGCAGGCACCTCTTCATCCATTTCCTGAAGCGGTCTTTGAACCTTACATGGAAGAAAAGCCTATGTCGGAGGCTCGGTGGAGAGATGGAGAAAAGGTTGGGGCAGAGCAGTAGCAGACAGTGGGAACAGCCTTTCCTGGTGCCACCATGGTTAATGGCCATGAAGTTTTGAGTCACCTTAGGAATATGACTTGTCTGGACCTTAACCTCAAAGCAAGACCAGATAAAAGGCTTGAAGGGGGATAATTCATTAACATAGGAAGGCTCTTTTCCAGCAGGGTGTGATTCCAGGAATTATCTGGGTTGAGATATCATTTTAATCCATGAAATGAAAACTGAATTAAGCAGCCTTTCTCGCCAGAGCCCACGGGGCCCAAACAACCTTGCTGAGGGAACATCTGGGCTGTGGCTCTTGGGGAAGATGAGCTTCCAGCACCAGCAGGTCAGGAAGGTGACACTGGTGACCAAACACAAAGGGAGATGCAGCCAGGAGCAAAGCACATGCTTAGCAGACATGGGGCAGCATGCACCAGTACAAACAGGGTTTACCGGCTCTGATTGCTGCTTGTAACCCCAAAACTTGACCCAGTTGGCATGAAGGCAGTTACAGAGAAAGAGCAGGCAGTGGGAGTCGCATTAGCAATGCCCAGAAGAGCCAGAAAACACACCCCTCACCTTAATATTTTTTTTTAAAGAAGGGTCTCACAATGCAGCCATTTAACAATCCTCAGCTACCTGACTGCTGGCGTTACAGCTGTGTACCACCATACCCTTGTATTACCTGTATCAGAACCACACCAATCTACTTTGGACCCTGGCATCATTATTTCTCTGCTCTAAAATATCAAAGTCTAGACTCCATAATATGCCTGAGGAGCCTGAGTCTACCTTAGAAGCTCTGAGGCAAAGCCAGGAAGGCTTCTCCAAGGTGGATCACTAGGGATGCTGGGCTGGAAAAGGTCCTGAGAGGCAGAAATGCATGTGAATAGAGTGCTGTAGGCCACAAGGACCGAAAATCCTGCCCACCTCACCATGGAGGACAGATGACCAGAGCTCTAAGAATGGCAACTATTCTTATACTCAGCTTGGAAGAAAAGTAAACTGCCAAGCTGAGACTGTCACTGCTGACCACACAAACCAAGCTGCCACGTGGGGATGCAGTGACCCCTTTCCAGCTGAACAGCCCAAGGCTGAGAGCCATGGCCTAGACAATTCTTCCCATATAAGGCAGTTATGGTACAGTGGCTTCAGTGGCTGTGGTAGATGAGGAAGCCCTGAACACAGGAAGCCCCCTGCTCACAGCAGCTGGAGGCACTGAGGTATCACAGTGACACATGAGGACTGAGGAGGAGGAGGAGGAGGACCTTCTTCACTAGGACCTCAGAACCTGAGCATTTAGCCCAGTATGCTTCCAGACACTGCATATAAGACTGAAGAACTTTAAAACAGAGAATAAAAGCTTCCCCTTTTTACCTTTTGACTTGCTTGGGATCCAAATTTTGTAGCCTAAAAAGGAAAAACAAAAGCCAGCATTTTGTAGTCAAATGTCTTGACCCTGATCATAAGGCTTTATCTATATGGGGCCCAAGTGGAGTTAGTTCCAGAACTCCCTCCTGGCAAGTACCCACCCAGGCAGTCAGCACCAACCTGGCAACAGTTCTCAGGGACCAGGTTGCCTAGCTTAGCAGATGCTGTAACAAGCCCACAAACTGCTGGGGATAGGACATGTTTGGGCCTAGCAGCCACCCCTAACCCCCAACTGTTCAACATGTGGGCAGCATAGTATCTAACTTATCTAGGCATAAAGAACTGCTGACACTTGAGAAAAAGTAGGCCTGTCTACAGATCCCAAGCTGGAAAGTAACTAGACCTCCCCTGGCCCCAGCCTTTCTAGAGATGAGGAAACACACCTTCTCAGCAGCCAGCAACTTCTCCATGGCAAATGGGCAGGAAGGCGGATACAATGGCTTCCAGCTTGTTTGGATGGCTATGGGCACTATTGGCTATGGGCACTATTGGTCAGGTTCTTGTGGACCAGTGGGTCAATTTACCTCTGTCCCTGTTCTTCTTAATACCATGACCACACAGCCCAACCCCAGGCTGAAAGCCTGTATCTTCTGGTTTCTTCCTATCAGTGCTTGCCAACTCATTGCCAGAGTCAGACATGCTCCCTATGCAGCATGGTCTATCCCAACAAGGCCTTTCAAGTTCTCCTCTCATTGTAAGTAAGAGTGAGGGAGAGAAGCTCGACTATCCCAACACTACTCTTAAGACCTAAAGGCAAAAATTCAGGCACAAGTACCCATCAGCTATTCACTAGTACTGTGTCTGTCTCCACCCACATGAAGTCAAGTCAACCTCTGCAAGTAGTTTGTCCTGACACACACAAACCACCTTCTGCTACAGTACGTGTTCCTGGGCCAACCTGCAGTGCACAAGGCCCCATGCTTGTATGTTAGAAGGGGGACCATATGTGGAAGGACCCCAGAACCCTAGGCCAGTGGTGGACAGCATACACCCCAGAGTTACTTACACCCTCCTTCGCTGCAGAAGCAAACTTGCTCGCCCCAGTGGTAAAACTGCTCCAGCCCTGAGAAGACAACAGAGAATGATGGAGCATGGCTTTTCTAGACCTTGTACGTGCCGTACTCTCGACACTTCAGCACAGCAAGGCTCCACAGAAGGCACATCACACACCTCTATAGCTCTGTGACCAGCCAAAGGCAGCCAAGTACTGTAGTATCCACACTCCCCTTGCCAGCTGCAGCATACAGAACACTTTCGTACTGTCCTTCCCAAGAGGAAGGACTCAAACACCAACCATGGCACAGGATGGCTACCAGGCCTCTTGGGCAGATATAAAGGGTGTCAGCAAAGCTGCACTCACTTCTTTCCTGACTCCTTCCTGCCTCCCAGAGGAGCAGACAGTGATGGGAAAAGGCCTTCCTCTAAATTCAAAGTTATTTCCTCACCAATACCTTCCAAAGTAAATTAAAGCCACTTCAATATAAAAACATCCCACTTAAACCACTGGCTTTTGTCCCCATAAGACAGTGCAGAGAAACCGATATGCTTTAGGAGACATCTATATTCATTGGTGTTCCTTAGAAAAGGTCATCAGCAGAAGACAGGGAATGAGCTTGCAATAATGAGGACGGGCTTTAAATAGAGCTCTACAGGGCCTGACATGGTGGCGCACACCTTTAATCCAGCACTTGGGAGGCAGAGGCAGGTGGATCTCTGAGTTCGAGGCCAGACTGATCTACAAAATGAGTTGTCGAAAAAAGAGAGAGAGAGAGAGAGAGAGAGAGAGAGAGAGAGAGAGAGAGCGCTCTCAATAGCAACATGCTTTGTGATAAAAGCCTGCTTTTTCTGTCCTAAAGAAGACCCAGTGTGATAGCAGGAAAATGACTGTCACTGCCACAGTCCTACAACGACACTCCCTTGGGGCAAAGAGGCAGTTTAAAGCAAATCTTTGGTTTTTGAGACAGGTTCTCACTATATAGCCCAGGGTGGCTCACTGCAATCTTCCTGCTTCAGCCTCCCCAGGGCTTAGGGCTACAGGGGTGCATTACAATTTGACTTCAGTTTTAAAACAATTTTTGAGCCAGGCATGGTGGCTTATGCTTGTAATCCCAATATGCAGGAGGATGGAGCAGGCAAAACATTGCAAATTTGAGACCAGCTTGGTCTACATGAGTTCAAGGAGGCCACACAGAGCTACAGGCAAGACTGTCTCAAAAAAAAAAAAAAAAAAAGTAAAAGATTCATACATTCATGATACAAAAGAAGAGGGTGATGCTGGTCTTTCATCTGTGCCTGTCAGTCTAGACTACAGTGCACATGTAGAGCAGCAGATTTCTGCATTCTGCCCCTTTTCACAGTAAGCATTTATTCCTCTTATGCATTGTGCTTATTCATTCGTATTTTGAAGATCTCATATCAATATAAAAAGCCTTTCCTAAGGGCTGGAGAGATGGCTCAGAAGTCAACTTCCAGAGGTCCTGAGTTCAATTCCCAGCAACCACATGGTGGCTCACAACCATCTGTAATGAGATCTGGTGCCCTCTTCTGGCCTGCAGTCATACATGCTATATACATAATAAATAAATCAATCTTAAAATAAATAAATAAATAAACAAAACAAAACAAAAAAGCCTTTCCTCCTTTTTTTTTTTTTTTTTTTTTTTTTTTTTGAGACAAGGTTTCTCTGTGTAGTTTTGGTGCCTGTCCTGGATCTCGCTCTGTAGACCAGGCTGGCCTCGAACTCACAGAGATCCACCTGCCTCTGCCTCCCAAGTGCTGAGATTAAAGGCCTGCGCCACCACTGCCCGGCACCTTTCCTCTTTCTTATTAGTTTGTTGTTGTTGTTTTTCAAGACAGGGTTTCTCTGTGTAGCCCTCGTTGTCCTGGAACACAGGAGGCACTCTGTAGACCAGGCTAGCTTTGAACTCAAGAGATCTGCCTGCCTCTGCCTCCCAAGTGCTGGGATTAGAGGTGTGCCCTACCACATCTGGTCTATTTCTTCCTCTTTTCACTTGCAGCATCCAAGAACGGATGTATCATCTGACACTTAACAGCAGCCCCTGCCAGCCCTTCAGGATGCTTGCATTTATGATTACTACAGAACACAACACTGCAATGAACAAAAGCAGCTTAAAAAAGATTAGTTTCCTTGGAAAAGCAAGCCACCACACCCTGAACTTCTGACCTGGAGCTTCCAAGTTGCCTTGAAAGCAGACAAATGGCCCCAAACCCAAGCACCACACTCCAGCAGAATGCCAGAACCTTGGGCAGTCTCTGCTCGGGGCCTCACTTCCTGAGTCAGCCTAACCAGCACAGGCCAGGAGGCTAGGTCGGCCTTCCACTGAACTCAGGACATGACCTGGAGATAAGAGGTACACAGGCGGCCGGGCGGTGGTGGCGCACGCCTTTAATCCCAGCACTCGGGAGGCAGAGCCAGGCGGATCTCTGTGAGTTCGAGGCCAGCCTGGGCTACCAAGTGAGTTCCAGGAAAGGCGCAAAGCTACACAGAGAAACCCTGTCTCGAAAAACCAAAAAAAAAAAAAAAAAAAAAAAAAAAAAAAAGAGGTACACAGGCTCCATAGAAAACGTTTAGTGCTTTGAGGAAATCTACCTTGGCAAATTTGAAATACATGTTTTATGGTCAGAGTAAGTAAGTGGCTGCATACATCTGGGATATGAATAAAAGGCCATTTTGTAAAAGAACCATTCACTGAAGGTAAACAAGAAGGGGCCCTTAATCAGATCAAAGGGTATATGCCCCAGGAATACCCATTCTGTCCATGAAGGGTCCTCCTTGTCTTGGCACTAGATAACCCCTCTGGCTATGCCTGCCACAAGAGGCACTCTGCAGGTCTCCTTACCGAGTACAGGGATGACATGGCATTGTTGAGGAAGTCGTCTTCTCTCTTCTGAGGTGGCACTGTGTTCCCAAACCCTACATAGCGATTCTCCTGAGCCCTGAGAATAAACAGACATCACTAGCCACAGCCATGAATTTTGCCACTCCTCAACGGTGAGACACTGGCCAGCAGGAGAGGTGCCTCCTCCCTCTCACAGGACATATTGCATTCTGCACAATGGGAACAGGAGCTACACAGATACTTTGTACCACATGACCTGAGGTTCCTCAGCAGTACCCAATCCCAATAAGTGGGGTTACTGGAAATCATCATTTATAGGCCAGGGAGATTCCAGGAAGAAAATGCATCATCTTTAATATTGGGGTTTCTTCATATTCAAAACCTCCACTCAAACCTGGGCCATCTTGGGGCTTACCCTGAGTGAACCCTGGATTACACACGCTGTGGACACATATAGAAGGAGTGGAAAGAGCCCCACCCCAATGGAGTAAACCCCTGCAGAGTGGTCTGTCAAAGGTGCCCTCAGCTGCCTGTTTGCTACCCCTGGCTTGAGAGGCCTTACCCCTGGTAGGAGCCCAGATCATCATTCAGCCAGTCTTCAAAAGCCTTGTCCCCAGAGGCAGTCACATTCTGTGGCTGGCCAGAGGGTCTGAAATGCAAAGTTAAAGGCCAGTGAGGCCTTGACAACACCAAATGGAACCACACAGTCTTTGTGAAATTTCATATCATATATGGGGTTAAGCATCAACCAGCTCTGACCCACAGGCTGCTCAGCCACATCTGAGTACAGTGGTTCTCTGCCCCAGTCTAACAGCAGCTGACAGTGAATTCTGCACTTGCCAGGAAGGGCTCAGAGCTGGGAAAGAAGACTGAAGCCATCAGTGGAGCTAGGACCTTCTCATCAAGTTCTGCAGGACCTGGGAGTGGAGGATGTGCTGTCATTTAGTACACAAAGTCATCTCCTGTGCCTCGTCCATCTTACACCAGCCTCCAGAGGGGACACTCTTCACAGTGGAACTTGGTGTGCACAACAGGGATCTGTACCATCTTGGGCCTACTCTATGGTTTGGCCATATGGCAAAAAAGACACAACCCACATCCCCACAGGTACTGCTCATAGGGCTGTATGACACACATAGGGTTGTATGAATCAACCCTCCTGCAGAACAGGTTGAGATGCTACTTCTTTTTTTTTTTTTTTTTTTTTTGGTTTTTCGAGACAGGGTTTCTCTGTGTAGCTTTGCGCCTTTCCTGGGACTCACTTGGTAGCCCAGGCTGGCCTCGAACTCACAGAGATCCGCCTGGCTCTGCCTCCCGAGTGCTGGGATTAAAGGCGTGCGCCACCACCGCCCGGCTGAGATGCTACTTCTTATTTGGGGTAAATTTTTATTAGAAGTTTGCACTGTTTCAGAAATGTTAAAAAGCTACTTTTCACTGACTTCTGGGAATAGCTGACAACTGGAGCTCTTTCCACAAGTGGAGGAAATGAGGTTTCTATGGGAATCCTAAGCTACCACTAACGCGAGGGTGAAGCTGAGATCTGACCAGCAGGTCAGAGGAGCTACCGGTGGGCAGTGGACTGCAGCATCTTGGGCTGAGGTGGGGTCCAGTTCTGTGCAGGCGATGACTCCAGAGACCACTCTCTACCTTCTGCCAAAGTAGCCACCTAACAAGATGACACAAGACATAAGGGGATATACCATCTACTCAAGCACGTCCAACTCTACAAGCCAGTACCACGAAGCCATGAACCAGGGCTCTTATGACGATGAGAATGTCAGTGACCTACTGGCCACTATGGTTGCAACTTTAAATGCACAAGGACTCATTAATTTGACCCTCAATCTGAGGAAGGCCAAATTCTCAGAGGGTCTGCAAAATGAGCTAGTCTAAGGCACTATGATCACACAGGTCATTTGTATTCCCTGTGGGCAAGAAAAGCCTGCCCTAGGTTTAGTAAAGGCCACTTGTCCTTGTCTGTTCTTGGACAGTACATGGCCTCTACAGATGTTGAAAGTGACAAAAGAAACCTGTCTCCCAAAGCCACTAAAGCCAGATTCTGGCCACTATGAAAATGTGTGCTATGCATTCACCTCTGTGTGTGAAGCAAGCTAAATTAGTCCTTACCTTATCCCTAAAGAGTGCTGCAGCTCTGCTGCTATACTTGTCCTGCAAGGACCAGTTAGGCTCATAGTCCTCTTGTGCCTCCAGGAATTCTCGGAACTTAGCATTCCCACCAGCCTTCATCTTCTCAAGCTCGATGTCCTTCCATTTGTCCATTGTAACAGAGCGTACAAAGCTAGAAACCAGATATCTGATCTGATTACCAAGTATGAGGGGCCCCAAGTAGCCTCCCAACCCAAGAGCACATCCCGAGCTAGATACAAGTGCTCCTTGTATTGAAGCAGAAGCCAGAAGCTTCATAGAGGCAAGCTGGACAAAGCTAATAATCTTGGCAGGTGTTAGTGGAGTTAAGACCCTCTAACAAGGTGGAAAACAGCTCCCTAACATCCTGTCAGATAGCAGTTTGGGCAGCAGGCCCCACAACATGGAAAGTAGGATAGATGCAGGATATGCAGGGGCTAAGTGGCAGGACACTGACCTGAGGTGCACCCCAAGGCCACGGTGTCTCCCAGAGCATTCCAGGCAGATCCAGATGCCATAAGTCACGCTGACCCACTGAGGATTGAATGCACCACACTCAAAGCAAACCTGCAAAGGGAGGCCATACGCAACTCACCAGGCAGCTCAGGTGGGGTTAGGACCCCAAAGACGCCCAAAAAGGATGCAGAAGAGGAGCAGGCCACATGTGCAAAGACTGAACTAAAGAGCTAGTACCAATAAGCCGGACAGGGCTGCTCAGGTTGGTCAAAGGATGTGGGTTCAGGACAAAGCTGGAGGTGGCAGAAGCTGCCTAGAAACTGGCATAAAGATAAAAAACCTCTCATAAGAAAAATGTTCAGAAAGGAGACCGAGCATCCTCAGCATAACCTGAGCAGCGTGACAGAAGTCCCACTCCCTACAGCCACATGAGTGAGCACCAAGAAGAGCCGGCTGCTCCCCTATGACATGATCAGTCTCTCTAAGGAGGGACACCACCATAGCTGCATCTGACACCAAGACATTCACCAGCCTACCCAAGCCCAGGCCAAAGGTTCACACTCACATTGTTCTCATCCTGTGCTCTGACTTCTTTAAGTACTTTTCTGGTTCTTGGGCTGGCCATGGTACTGCAAGGAGCAAAACAAACCCTTACTATAAAAGAAGGAAAATGAATTGGCAGTGCAATAACATTGCATAGTGATGACTTCTTCATAACATCTGCCACAAAACTGCTGATCTGACAGTGGTAGTCCTACACAGTACAGGAGCCACTTACCAAGGAGCCACTTCACATGGGAGGAGGGAATCCCAGGCTACAACCAGCAGTAAGAGTCAGGAATGAAGTACAAGTTCAGTCACTCTGTGCCACCAGGCAGCATACTGGCTAAAAAGCCCTGTCATTTGGTGATAAAACTCACAAGGAGTAACCTTACAAAACATATGAAGATTAGCAACTAAATCTGCTTCCCCTAAAAAGGGCAGCTCACTGATGGAAGAGTATTCTGTACTTTCTACCTCTCCGCCAGCTCTCCAAGTCGATGTAGGAAGCCCTCAGGCTGCAACAAGGGCCAAGGAAGTATTCCTGGCAATGGTATTAGTCTGTAAATAGGTCCTCTATGAGGACATCCTGACAGATAAATGTGAAATAATAGGATACAACAATGACCACAGACCACTGCCTGGTGCCTTCAGTGGGAACAGAAATAAGGCTCAGCTAATATTTTCTTCCTTCCTTCTTTTCGTTTGTATCTGTTCATCCACATGTATGCCTGTGTACACATATGGAGACCAGAGGAGGACACAGGTTGTCTTCTACAGATTTCCATCCTATGCCCTTGGAATACTGAACTTGGAGCTCGGCTGAAAACAAGCTCCCACAATCTTCCTATTTCCATCCTCCAATGCTGGAGTTATAGACATGTGCAGCCATGCCTGGCTTTTATGTAGGTACTGGAGATTTGAACTCAGATCTTCATGCACACACAGGAAGTGCTCTTACCCCCAACTGTTTCCCTAGCCACTATTCTTGTCTTATATCTGCCAGTTTCAGCGATGTTTAGCTTTAACTGGTGGTCCATTTACTTCAGGACTAAGAAAATAAAGCAAAGCAACAGACTGTGCCAATCACAAGGCTGGATGTAAATTAATCCCAGTGTTATTGCACATACCAGCACTGAGGGAACTGGAGGCAGGACCTGGGCCTCTAGCTATGCCCCGTGCCAGCCCACCAGTCAGGTGTGGTCTTTCCAGAACTCATCCATTGCAATGGACCCATGCTGTTTCCTCTAATTCACAGGGCAAACACATACAAAAAACAGGTGAGCACTCTCTCTGACAATAGCTACAGGTTTTCAGTGTTTCGCCTCGCTACTTACTTGCTGTTAAGACTGAAAATGACCATTTTCTATTCATGTGGTTCACATTAAAAAAAAAAAAAAGCGCCGGGCAGTGGTGGCGCACGCCTTTAATCCCAGCACTCGGGAGGCAGAGACAGGCGGATCTCTGTGAGTTCGAGGCCAGCCTGGACTACCAAGTGAGTTCCAGGAAAAGGCGCAAAGCTACACAGAGAAACCCTGTCTCGAAAAACCAAAAAAAAAAAAAAAAAAAAAAAAAAAAAAAAGCCTCTGTCCTAGATCCCATATTTCATTTAGAATTTAAGTCTAAAGAAACATGGTGTTCAGTAAAGGGATTCTTGACTCTCAACCCACCAATTCTCCTGCATCTTTTAGCATGACCAGGATCCCCTTCTTTCTGATGTTAGGAAATATTTGTTTTCTGTAACTGTTTGAAACTAAATCCTAGTTCACTCTAACTTCCTTTTACTGTGTTAACTACATGTTAGAATGGCACCCTAAAACCACGAACACACAAATGCAGACTCCTGCATGTAGGACTCGGGCCCTGGCATGACTCATTCAGACAGAACAGTTAGCACCCCAATCATCTACTCATGCACACCCCCAGACAGTCCCGAGCATTTGGGAAGACAGAAGTAGATCTAAGTTTACAAAGCCCCCTGCATTCTTCTCCAGTAGCTACGTGAACAGCCATCACCAAGACCAATGCAGGTTTCTGTACTCAATCTCAATATTCAAAGCACTGTGTCTGCCCTCAGAGGCTCACAACTACACAATGGAGGCAAACAAAGGCAAGAAGTCAGCATCTCATGACACGACTCTGTACTTCTCACTGTGTGAAGTAAATAAAGGACATTCACAGCTACAGGGGAAAGTAAATGACTTGGCTTGGATTTTGTTTGTTTTTGAGACAAGGTCTTTCTACATGGCCTTAGCTGTCCTGGAACTCACTATGTAGACTAGGCTGGCCTCAAACAGAGATCTGCCTGCCTCTGCTTCCCAAGTGCTGGGATTAAAGGTGTGCACCATCATCCCTGGCTTGGTTTGGATTGAAGGAACTCTCCTGTGTTGCAAACTTTGGGTATTAGTGAGTAATTACTTATCTTAAATGTTGTTTAATAACATGAAAACAAGCATCTCCTCACTTTTACCAGCCTAAATATGGCTCAAAAAAGGTTCAAGAATCCTTTTTTTTTTTAAACATTTCTTTCTTAGGTGTGTGTATAATGTGTCCACAGTACATGCCTAGAAGCCTGGAAGGTGGGAGTCAGCTATCTCCTTCCACCATGTGAGTTCCAGAGACCAAATTCAGGTACTCAGTCTTGGTGGCAAGTACCCTTACCTGGTAATCCATCTCTCACCCACCCTAAGAATTCTTAAAGCTGAAATAAAAAACGACAAAATACTCTTCCTTCAAGCACACATAACCAGTAAATACTGAAGCAAATAAAGATATTTTCAGACTTTACTAAGCTACATGTCACACTACAGAGCATTTGGTTCTTAAAATGGGACATGATGAACCTTTGAGGGCAAAAGGGACACCTGGGAACATAGCGTGGCCCTAAGGTTATAGTATGGGTGACAAGGAGAAATACTAATTTTCTTTCTCAGAACTGCTCAAAGCACACAAAGAACCCATGTCTAAGTTATGCTTCTTCGCTCTGAAGAACAGGTGGTTTCAGAACATCACCTTGCCCAGGACTATAGGTAGGGCTCCGTTGCTGCAAACACAGCACAGCAGAAATAGGAAGCCTGAAACAGAGCGGATTATTTCTGACGTGTGGTGCCAAAGAGGGCAATCATAAGCACATCCTTCTAAACCCAGGTAAAACTGAGAAAAGATTAGAAGGCTGGTCCTTTGGGGGTTTTATTGTTGGTTTGTTTTGTCGTTGGTTTATTTTTTCCACTTTCGGCAAAGTACTCACTTCAAAGGCCAAGAAGGAAAATGATCAACAAGCTGAGGCTAGGGAGTCTGGCTTCCTGGCACCTCTGGACACAATCTTCTTTCGAAGTGAAGGGTAGTGGCCCTTTTCCGGGTAACTGGGCTATGCAGAACCGGTCTGCGCCCGAGATCGCCGAGTGACCACGTAGATCCGCGTAACCGCTAGGCTGAAGAGTGGCAGGCTCAGAGGCCGAGGGGTCTGGACTTCCGCGGCGAGGAGGTCCGCTCACACAATGGGGCGGCCGCTGGGGACCGAGAAGGGCAGCCTCACACAGGGACCTGTTTTGGGGTCCCAGGAACAGGAATGTCACGGGTCGGGGGACTGGAGAATCCGGGGCCAGGAAGCTAGGGAATGGGAGGTAAGGGGCGCGGGAGGAACCGGGAGCCGTGGAGTCAGGGATGAAGACTGGGGGCGTCGGACAGTCGGGGTATTAGGGGACCAGGGCCTAGCGGCGCAGTATTGAGGATTAGAGGACCAGGAACCCGGTAAATTGAGAACCGGAAGGTCATGGAACTGAGGGTCCGCGGGTCCCGGGTGTCCGGGCCGCGAGCTCACCTGCTGCCCTCAGGGCGTCGGGTCCGGCCGAGTTGCCAAGCTGGACTGGGTGCTCAGATTCCCCCACCAGCCGCCAGCAGCTTCCGGCTACGTCGCGCTTCGCAAGGACTCATGGGAGGCCTGCGAGGTGGTACTTCCGCTTCCGTGCGCGAGCCCTGGAGCGGGGCTTTCTTCCGGTCTGTCCAGCCCCTGAGCCTCGCGCCGTTTGCTGGGGAGCTCCGGAGTGGGCGGTGCCGCATAGCAAGGCAGAGCGGGTGGGTCCGGGTAGCGGTCATGGCAGCCGGCCTTCTGGGAAATCCACGATGCCGACCGAGGCTGGACCGGAGCAAAGAACTGCCCGCGGCCACTGTCAACTCGAACCGCGGACTCGTGGTTTAAAATAGACTTGGGCCGGCTGTTCTGGTAAAATCACTTGGGTTAATTGCTGGTGGTTTTTAGTTTTGTATACATACTTTGGGCCTGTCTGTGCCATGTATTTCTCCCTCGTCAACTGCTTGACTTTCTTTCTGTTTTTGTTTTGTTTTTCGAGATGGGGTTTCTTTAAAACCTTGGCTGTCAGCCTGGCCTCGAACTCAGAGATCTGACTGGCTTTGCCTCCCGAGTGCTGGGACTTAAAGGCGTGCGCCACCACCGCCCGGCTCGTTTGACTTTCACATTGACCAAACCAAACCTACCTGCAACGAAACGTACAGTGAGGCATTTTGTCAAATACATACAGTTGGTACCCGTACCACCGTCAGGGATAATGCGTCCCTTCTTCCATCCACTGTTGGAGTTTCTGTCACAGGTTCAGAACTTTGTATACATAGAATATCGAAAACTGTAGTGTTAGATGACTTATCCAGAGCCCAATTTTGTGGCTTGAGACAGGCTCTCACACTGTTGTAGCCCAGTTTAGCTTGGAACTCGAAGACCTTCCATGGCAGTATTTTCTTCCATAGATTCTCAGGAGACTGGGAAGAGGAGCTGTTTCTGATGAAACCCGAAATGGGCTGACCTGCCCCCTGGAGGCCAGTCTGAGCTACATGCTTCCTGAGTTCTGTGACAGACAAAAGTGTAGGGTGCAGACCTGGGCTGCTCCCACCCATGGCTTTCAGGTCAGGCTGGCTAAAATGCTGCTTGGGAGACGGGAGCAAGCAGACCTGACCTATAGGTGGTCCAGAAGTACCTTGGCCAGTGTAGGTTGTGGTTCTCAAGCTATCCCCATCCTGATCAAGTCATCTCTTCCTGTTTGTATTTGCTAGTTTTGTGTCAGCTTGATACAAACCGGTCATTTGAGAGGAGGGAGCCTCAATTGCAAAAATGCCTCCAGAACAGCGGTTCTCAACCTTCCTAACGCTGCGAACTTTTAGTACAGCCTCTCATGTTGTGGTAACCCCCAGCCACAAAATTATTTTGTTGCTATTTCGTAACTAATTTGGCTACTGTTATGAATTGTAATGTAAATATCTGATATTCAACCCCAAAACAAAGGGGTCAAAAACTGCAGGTTGAGGACTGATGCTCTAGAAAATCAGGCTGTAATCAGGCAAGCCTGTAGAGCATTTTCTTAATTAGTGATTGATGTGGAAGGGCCCAGCCCATTGTGAGTGGTACCACCCTGGGCTGGTGGTTCTGGGTGCTATAAGAGGCAGGCTGAGCAAACTATGAGGAGCAAGCCAGTAAACAGCCTTCCTTCATGGCCTCTGCATCAGCTCCTGCCTCTACATTCCTGCCCTGTTTGAGTTCTTCTCCTGATTTTCTTCAATGATGATCAGTAATGTGGAAGCTAAGCCAAATAAACCCTTTCCTCCCCAAGTAGTGACTAACCCTAAATAAAACACTGCTCCAGGAAACACCAGTGATTGTATCAAACAGCTCAAGTGTGAGAGCCCCCGATGTTAAGGTCACCCTGAAAACATTCTCCATAGTGGGCTCATTCTCATCTCTGAACTGGGGTATTTCCCACCAGCATACAGTAAGCATGTAGCCCTGACTGGCCTCCAGGGGGCAGGTCAGCCCATTTCGGGTTTCATCAGAAACAGCTCCTCTTTCCAGTCTCCTGAGAGTCTATGGAAGAAAACACGGCCATGGGAGGTCTAAATAGTTCTGGCCGGCCACCCAGGGTTGGGGGGCAAAGAGTGGACTGGGTGGCCAAGAGTGGATGCAAGGAGGACTGGGCGGGTGCAAGTAGCTTAGGCCCCAGACGTGGAAGGCTCTTGCCTTGTGTAACAACTGGAGTAAACTGACAAAGACGATCCTGGTGACAAGAGGCCATCGTAAGGTGCCTGCTTGGCCTGAGCTGGGGCCCTTCCAGCCAGAGGGCAGAGCTAAGCCCTTCCATGTCAGGCCTACCTAGGAATTCAGAGTTCACAAAAGTAAAATAGTGGGCAGTCCTGAGTCCTCATTACTGGACCTGTTATTTATCTCCAATTGCAAGTGTACCATACAGATAACCCCTGAAATAGACAGCAGAGTAAGCACAAGGCCTTTGCAGGCCACTGCCAGTCCCTGTACAGAATTGGAAACCCAGTGTCTATACATCCTCTGTAATGTACTCACCATGGGCCTTCTGGGTGCCCATAGCATATAGCACCTTTCTCCAGAGAGCCGGCCTCTGGTCTCTGGAAAACATATGCCAGTCCTTAGCCAACACCCAAGAGGTGAGAACACAAGTGCCCCCTCCTCCAGTGGTGAGTAGGGTTGGGTCAATTGAGGCTTATCTCCATCTGAGGACATACCTGCTGCGTCATACCCTCCTTTCTCCTGGGAGCCTCCTACACCCTCTTGAAGTTCAGATTGTTCCCAGTGCCTAGTGTAGTAGTTACAGCCTCCCTCTGCTGGTGTCATCAAGCTCCTGTCTTTGCTGTGTGCTAGGCAGAGCTGTACCAACCCCAGTGAAGATTTTACTTTGTTTTTAACCTCTGATTCCTGGTGTGTGTGTGTGTTTCTCTTGATAGCCTGCCTCCTCCAGATCCTTCCTGAATCAGGAGAAAAGAATGTGAGATGGCTCAGGTCCACCCAGATAAGGCTGCTGCAGTATGGAGCAGCCATGATGGAGAAGGGCCTGGGGTTGGGACAGAGGGAACTAGAGGACTGTCAGAGCAGGCAACACTGCAAGGTCAAGAAGCCATGAGAGCTTCGGAAGTACAACTGTCCTTAGCAGTCTTGGGCCATCTTCCATCCTAACCCTCCAAGGAACCTGCAGCTGTGTTGAATCACATTTGGTCACAGTATCTAAGAACATGCCAGGACTGGCCAGCTCCTCAGATTAGAGGCTTGATGGTTCAGATCTCAGGACTGTAAGGGTCAGGACCTAAATAATCCTATCTTAGATGAGATTCTTGATCTAGTTGCTAGAAACAGAAACCCAATCTTAAATGGTGGACACACAAATGTACTAATTCAGATGAAAGCTGGTCACAGAGAGCAGACAGTCCACAACCTCAGTGCAGAACTGCCTCTGTGCTCCTTTCCTGTACACTTTCCCTGCACGATGGGGGTGCTTTTAACTCTTTGTGTCACCAGATCCAGTAAGTCTACAGCCTTATGAGGAAAACATTGATGACAGATTGGTGGGACTTTGTTGGTCTTTTCTGTTCTCTACATATGTCTTAGATTGGGCTATTCCCCTTCAGATCCAACCATGGGAGAACATGTGCTAGACTCTAGCAGCTAGAGGTTTATAGATCCAGATGTTGGTAACAGCACATACACATATATCGACTGTCCTGCATGTGTACAGGAGTCTCAGTGTGAGAGCCTCTGAACCCCTTGTCCCAGAGACTACTGCCTGGGAGGAGGAATGGCCGAGGTGTGGTAGCTGCACCTTGCCCTGTCCAGGAGCTGAGAGAGAAACAGGATACTGAATCTCTGCTGAAGTCATGGGAAGCTTGCTGGAGGCCAGAAGGCCTAGGAAGACTAGTTGATAGGAGAGTTGGAGCCATGACTTCAGACTTGGTTGTATCCAGACCTAGGTACCCAATACCAAACCCATGAGCCTGGAGTTGGCTTGCAGAGAAAATACAGGACTAGTGCCAGATCTGTGAAGAAATAGAGGCCCCACAGGATGAGACCCTAGAAGAGACCGTAGGGACTCTGTGGAGTTAGTAGGTAGAGGAGTTGGTGCCCACAGGGAAGCTGAGAAAGGAGCCAGTGTGGCCAGAGGGGACTTGGGGTAGTCAGCAAAGGACTCAAACCTACCCCAAGACCAACAGGACCAGTGGGTAGAGATCGGCCTATAAGAGGTCCACACAAGGCCATCTAACCAAGGCTGGCACCCATAGTGGTGTTGATCAGATGAAGGCCTGTAAGCTGACAGGCCCAGACAAGTGAGATCTGTCCCTAAGATAAGGTATGGGCTGTGCACCTCTCTTCTGGGTATGTGCTAGGGTGGCCTCGGCACCTCCTGGCTACTCTCTGTCCTAGTCCGGCCTCCCAGGGACTTGGGATGTTCTCTTTAGCACAAAAGTGCAATCTGTGTCCAGCTCTGGAGCTGAAGAGGCCTGGCGTCAAATCTTGCCTCTGTCATTTGCAGGCTCCAGGCAAGTCACTTAGGATGAAGCTCTGGTTTCCTCACCTATAAGTGGAAGAAGATACAACACTAATTCACAAGGGCTTTTATGAAATTTAAAAAGCTGTCAGGCTGGCAGGGACTGTGGTTGACCACAACTATTGTTGCTGCTGGAGTGGAGTCTTCCCAAGTAGGGTACCCTGCAGAAGGAGACAAAACAGAGGGTCTGGGAAGAGTGCCCTGTGTTTTGTCCAGCGAAATTAATGCATGGCCCACAGTGAAAAATGTCCATGCTGTGATTTTGAAGCTGAGTTTGCTAGCTAGAAGGATCATTTCTACATCCTCCTGGGTACTCCCTGCTATGATTTAATGATGAAGTCCCTCTAGAATTCATGCCAAGCCTGAACCTCAGTATAAGAACTTTTTTTGTTTTGGGGGAGTTTTTTTGGTTTTTTGAGACAGGGTTTCTCTGTGTAGTTTTGGTGCCTGTCCTGGATCTCCCTCTGTAGACCAGGCTGGCCTTGAACTCACAGAGATCCACCTGGCTCTGCCTCCCGAGTACTGGGATTAAAGGTGTGTGCCACCACTGCCTGACTCGATGTAAGAGCTTTAAGGTGTGGTCACAGATGGCTGAATTAGAAGGCTCTGGCCTGAGAAATGGGATAACATTCTGTAAAAGGACTCTTGTCCTGCTGTCTGCCCCCAGGCAAGGTTTCAACAGGGGCCTGCTGGAAAGCATAGTGGCCACACCAAACACCAAATCTAATGAAGTTAGATCTTGAACTTCCAGCTTCCTGAACTGTAAATAACAAGCTTCCGTTCTTTATAAACTACTCTAGCTCGGGTCTTTTGTCTCAAACGTTGGTTTCTTGTCAACATTTAGGGATCATGTTATGGGCTCCATCGTGAGAGACAGAGCAACAGGAAGAAACAGAAGGGGGGGTAGAGGAAATCTGTATAGGATGCACTGAAGGGGAGCAGCTGCTAGCCTCAGGAGAGGGCAGAGGGATCCAATGGGGCCTGCAGCTGGCTTTTGATCCCTTTGAGTTTGTTTAATAAAGCTAATGTTTGAAAGAATGTGAGAAAAATATCAGCCTCGCCTGCCTCTGCTTTGCTCTGCTCTTTGATCCATGAGTTTCTAATACTAAAGATGAGGTCCCAAGACATCCTGGTCAGATCCCTGGCCTTGGGCTCCTATGGAGAAGTTCTCAGAAACCCAGGTATGTGGCCAAGGGAAAGGTCTTCTCCCTCATGCTGTTAGACTCCAGGCATGGGCCCTTCTTCTGCTGCAGGGAGTCCTAGTTTCTCAGAAATTAGTTGACCTTTACTAAGGATAAATGGCACACATCTATTAACCCCAGATAAAGTACCAACTACAGACCAAAGAAACTATTCCATCTAGGTCTAGCTTAATTAACAAGTGAGCCTATAGGGTTTACTTACAGAAGCATAAGTGATGGGCTGCTTACAGGACCAGGGTGATTCAAACGCAGCTACATTCACAGAAAAGCCCTCCTCAACATGATGACTCATGCATGAGTGCTGCACCCAGAGAGTTCACTGCAGCTTGAAGACAGCTTCCTGGGAGAGTCTCCTCAACTCAGCAACTGTTGCTTATGTAACCTTGGGCAGTGCCTTGTGGATATGAAAACATTCTGAGCTTCCTGAGCCTGAAAAGTGGCATGTGCTTCCTCTTCACTCCAGGAGAGAACGTTTCAATTTAGAGGAAATGGGTCCCAGGCTTAAGGCTTCCTCTGTAGCTGATCGTGCTGTCTGACACCCTAGTGAACTGTCAGGAGTGACTGGCCCCACCTGGCTTACCTTGCTCTGGTCTGGTGTCCATAGTCATTCACGGCATCACCATCACTGACTGCCTTGGGCTCCATTCTGCACTGCATTGTCAGTGGTCTCAGTACTTGTACTTAAATTTCTCTCTGCCCCGGGACCCAGGGAGGCCCAGGCCCATTGCTCACCACTCAGCAACATGTAAGATTCTGTGAGAGCAAATGTGCACTGCAAGATTCAGCCTACAGGTTTAGTTGTTGCCACTTCCTCCTCCTCTCAGCTGTGTGATCTCCCTCACACAGCGTCCTCATCTGAAATGAGGATCAGACGACCTTCTCCAAGAATCAAGCAAACCAGATGAGAAGACAACCCTCTGTCCTTGCAAGGCCAGCCTACCTTACCCAAGCTGTATTAGTAAGATTCTCTAGACTCTAGAGTAGTGGTTCTCAATCTTCCTGATGTTGTGACCCTTTAATACCCTATAATACAGTTCCTTATTGTGACCCCCAACCATAAAGTTATTTCATTGCTACTTCATAACTGTAATTTTGCTACTGTTGTGACTAGTAATGTAAATATCTGATATGCAGGGTATCTGATATATGACCCCAAAAGGAGTCACAATAGGTTGAGAACCAGTGCTCTAGAGTGTGTGTGTACATATATATTCTGTCCGTTATGTTTCTATTATGTAATATATGTATATGTTTTCTTAAAGTGGCTCGCAGGATGTGGTCCTGCTAGTCCAACAATGGCTGCCTTAACAATGGAAGGTCCAAGAATCTAGTAGTTTGTTAAGTCTATGAGGCTGTCTCAGCTGGTCTTCAATAGACACTGGAATTCCAAAGAAGTAGGCTCTAATGCCAGTGAAGGAATAGACTTTCCAAATGAGAGTGAGGACAATCAGGCAAAAAGAGAGAGAGAGCGCTTCTTTCTTCTGGGTACTTTATATAGGCTGCCTGCAGAAGGCATGGCCCAGGTTAAAGGTAGATCTTCTCACCTCAAGAGATCTGGGTTAAAAATGAGTCTTTACTGCAGATAATCCACAGATACTGATAAAGGAATTATTTATTAAGAAATGATACTGGGGAGAAGAACTCACTAAACAGGATAAGGCAAATCTGTTGCAGAGTCCTGGAAGGCTGATGGCCGGTCCCATGATACTTCTGCCGCCTGTGTCAATCCCCACCGTCCAAGCCCATGAGGGATAGAAGAAAAGGGGCCTGTGTATGTGCCCCTCAGTCTTAAGCTAGCTCAGAGGCCACACCTTAGGGGCTGGTACTTCAAGGTCATAGGTGGAACAGGTATCCACTACAGGTCTTCCCATTTTAAAGTATGTAATTAAGAAAAAAAATCTTTCATAGGTATACCAGCTGCTTCAATTTTAGTTGATTCTAGATGTAGTCAAGTTGACAAGGAAGAATAACCACAACAACAGGCAGTGGTGGCACTTGCCTTTAATCCCAGCACTTGGGAGGCAGAGGTAGGCAGATCTCTGTGAGTTCAAGGCCAGCCTGGTCCACAGAGCTAGTTCCAGGACAGCTAGTGCTGTTACACAGAGAAACCCTGTCTCAAAAAACCAAAAAAAAAAAAAATAGCCATAAGTCCACTCCTTGTCAACTTGACACATAATTTTTTCTCTTTATATCATGTTTAATTTCCAAACAAAAACAATAACCAGTTCATAAGTAGGCCTATCGTGATAAAACTATCCCACATACAATTGCAAACAAATTTTATATTTAATCACATCACAGTTATGTCTAACATGATATAACTATCCTGCATATAACCAAAAATGCATTATCAATTTTAGAATAGGTGACAATGTCCCTTGAGGGACATTCTTTACCATTCATAAGAAAGGCTTAGCTCTAGGAGTTCAGTCAAAGAGAGGGAAGAGGGATTCCATGAGCAAGGGGCATCAAGATCATGATGGGGAAACCTACAGAGACAACCAAACCAAACTAGTGAGACCTCATGAACTTTAGACCAACAGCTGTGGAGCCTCCATGGGACTGGACTAGGCCCTCTGCATAAGCAAGATAGTTGTGTAGCTTGATCTGCTTAAGGGGCCCCCTTGCAGTAGGATCAGGATCCAACCCTGATGCATGAGCTGGCTTTTTGGAGCCCACTACCTATCTATGGTGGACACCTTACACAGCCTTGATGCAGGGGGAGGGGCTTTGACCTGCCTCAAGTGAATGTATCAGGCTCTGCTGACTCCCCATGGGAGGCCTCACCTTGTTGGAGCAGGGAATGGGGAGTAGGCTGGGGGCGGGAGGAGGGAAGCGGGGGGATCTGTGGTTGGTATGTAAAATGAATAAATAATTTCTTAAGAAAAAAAAGGAAGAAATGCAGTCACAATGCAACAAGACCTGCTGGTCTATAAAGATGGAGTTTGACACAGGGAGTGGAGGTGGATCCAGAGGGGGATGAGATTGAGCATGTGCCTAGGTTTGGCATAAAGTCACACTGTGACATAGATGAAATGTGTGGATCTGGTGTCTAACTGCCTGCCCTTCTACGTCCCCAAGGTGCGCTCCAGGTTAGGAAGTTGGAATGACCCAGAAACTTAAGACAGCATGCTCCTGCTCTGGATGCAGAAAGGTGAGTCCCCACAGATAGACCAAATAGCTGAGGGAAGCCCTGGATCCCAGCCACCCCTGAGCTACAGTGTGTCAGGAAGACTTCACTGCTCATGTCTGTTCTCCTGTGAATAAGAACACCCCTTATTGTCTCAGAGTGAGTCCTAAAGAACCTCAGAGAGATGGCCAGGTGGTGGTGGCACATGCCTTTAATCCCGGGACTCAGGAGGCAGAGCCAGGCGGATCTCTGTGAGTTCAAGGCCAGCCTGGTCTACAGAGTGAGATCCAGAACAGGCTCCAAAGCTACACAGAGAAACCTTGTCTCGAAAAACAGAAAAAAAAAAACAAAAACAAAACAAACAAGCAAAAACCTCAGAGAGGCTATAGCCAAGACTCAGGACCTGCAGATACCAGAAACAAAATGTCTGCTGTCCACCAAGAGAACTGGGAAGAACACAGGCTGGGCACTGTGGTGATAGTTTGTTGTACTCTAATAAAATTTGCCTGAAGATCAGCGGACAGAACAAGCCCCTATATTAAATATAGAGGTCAGGCAGCGGTGGCACACACCTTTAATCCTAGCACTGGGGAGGCAGAGATCCATCTAGATCTTTGTTAGTTCAAGGCCACACTGGGTTACATGTGATTGATCCAGTCTAGGAGAGAAACAGAGCCAGGCAGTGGTGGCACACACCTTTAACCCCAGTATTTGGGAAGCACACATGCCATTAATCCCAGCACCAGGAAGGTTGAGATAGGAAGTGAAATGGCTGGGCAGAGAAAGGCATATAAGGTGTGAGGAGACAGGAAATAGAGCCTTTTCGGCTGAGGACTCAGACATTCAGTCTGAGGATTCATGGAGACAAGATCAGCTGAGGAGTTGGCGAGGTGAGAAGTGACTGTGCCTTGTTCCTTTGTTTCCTCTGATCTTTCAGCATCTATCCCAACATCTGGCTCCAGGTTTTTATTATAAGACTATTTAGGATTCGTGCAACAGGGCACCCACCTGGTTGGAGGTGTGGAGGTGTAGGCTTGGACCACAGAGCACGCAGGTGGGGTTATGCTAGGCTCACTGCTGCACTCTGGTGTCTGGTACAATTTAGGTGCCATGGTCGTTGGAGACAGACAGCAGGCTGCAGAAACAATGTGTGCTTGTATGCAAAGCATGCAGTGAAGCCTGTGGCCCCCACACATGGCCATGGTGAGAATGTGCCCAGAGGTGTGCACAATGGCATGTGGTGCCCTGTGCCATCGAGCTATCTACACAGTGTTTCCCTTCATATGACACCAAACCCACACTGGAAGGGACTGAGTGGATATTTGTCCACATTGGAGACATGTGTAGCTGTCACAACTAGAGAAGAGTGCCATGTCATGGTGGAAGTTCATTCTACTCAGCTTAGGAGGGCCCCACCTCAGGAAATTAGTCCAACCCCACATCCAGTCAAACACTCTCTGGCACATTGCCCTTTTTACTGAGTAACTTTCCATGAAAACCTGCCCAAGAAGTCCTATTATCATCTTCCCACAGCTTGCTCTGATGATCAGGACTTCTACGGGGCTCTATCTCTTCCCCAAGCCTAGGTTGCCCCATTCAGGGCACAGTTGTTGAGTCTCTATCCTTAGAGGGAGCTTATGAACCCCAGTTCAGTTCCATCAAGACTACTCTGAGTGGGCAGGGGGTGAGTGGATGTCCCATTCCCTTGTCTGCTTGATTTTTGCCTCTCGTCAGCCTAAAGTCTGTTGTCCTGACGACACACACACACACCTTTCTCCTCTAAATGTTCCTATTTGTTGGGTCTGAGACTTGTACTTCCACAAGCTTGTATTAAGGATCTTGATTGGCTTCCTCCCCAAGGCTGTAGGCCTTGACTTGCTTTTCTATGAAATGGGCTGGCAAGATAGAACCCTGCAGTGCCATATGACTGCTCACCAAACTGAGGTAAGGGGGATGTGGTAATTCATAAAATAGTATGAATGGTTCAGGAGTGAAGTAGCCACAGGAAGTCACAGGTCATTTCTCTGGAGAAGCCAATGGTGAGAGGGTGCTCTGTGCTCTGAGGTTGGCACACAGAGGAAGGCTATCCACAGACGTTCTGAGCATCCCCAGGAGGCCAGGTGAAGCTGCTCAGGTCAAGGCCAAAGCTACCTAGACTCAGTTTCCTCTGAAGCCTGTGGCCAAACCACCTGGTGTGAACTGCTTCTCCTATCCACCTCCTCTATCTTCCCACAGTGAGCTACCAGGTGCCAGACTGGTACCTTCTTCTGCTGCTGGCACAAGATTCCTGCCCCAGCGACAGGCTTTTTTTTTTTTTTTAAAAATCATTATTCACTGGGACCTGCACTACAGCCCAGTGCTTCCATCTGACCAGGACGTCCATGCCAGCCTGGATGTGAGGCTCCTCTACAACCCAGCTTAGTCCCATTTACAGGCCTCTGTGCAACAGGGCTTTCTGAGCACTGTTGTGAACAGGACACCCACTAGAGTTCCTAATGCTGTTCCTGAGCAGATCTGGACAAGACCTTCCAGACAGGTGAAGTAGTGATGGGTGAGCGCATCATTCCTCCTGCTTCTGAGTCCTCACTCTCAGATTGGACATAGAGCTCTGGACCAGGTGAGGACTTCTTGGAGACTCACACTGAGAACGCCTCGTGGATGGGGTGAGCCTGAACCCCACAAGAAAGGAGTTTGATGGCAACAGTGCAGAGGTGTCTGACCCACCAGAGGATTCTGAGCAGGGACAGGAGCCAGGCCGAAAGCTATTGGAGGGAGACTCGGTTGCTAATTCTTCTGGACAGACTCCTTGGCAGGTCGAGTTGTCTGTAGCCACGGCTCAGCCTCTCGCTGCTCTTTGCTGCCAGAAAGAAAGTGTCATCGCCCCTTTAAGAAGGGGTCCCTCGCCCCTTCTCCGGACGGCTTGAAGCCCCTAAGGGCTGCAAGTACTAGGGGTGTGTAAGTGTGGAGACAGACACGGAGCAGCTGTTACCCAGAGGGGGGAGGGGATGAGCAGTAGGGAGGGCGGGGTCTGAAGAGAGGGTGGGCAGGGGCGGGATCTAGAAGGAAGGGACGGACAGGGCTGGGGTCTGCTAGGCTTACCCGAGGCAAGCTGGGACGGAATCTACAAGCTGGAAAGAGGCAGTGTCGGCAAGGCAAGGAGGGCGGGGGCGCGGTGGGCAGAAGCTTTCGCACGCGGAGGGCTCCAGCCCACTCTGGCAGCAAAGGTGCCGCGGGAGGCGTGAATACCATGGGCTCTTGCTCCGGCCGCTGCACGCTTCTTGCGCTCTGCGCTCTGCAGCTGGTGAGTCCTGGTGTCCTGCGTGGCTCTCCCGATCAGCAGCAGCCCAGGGAGGCCCCTGGACGGCTTGAATCTGGCTGCTGCGGCCAATTTTCCCGGCTGACAGGCATGCGAGGGGAGCTGCCACTGTGGGGGATTTCGGCTGTGCCCTGCTGTGTTTGCTTGGGAAGCGGTGTCCGGGCTGGCGGGGACAGGTGCTGGGGAGCTTCTGGGGGGCCCCGGCTGCCAGGAACAAAAGCTTTCGGGCGGGGCTGCCCCTGGAGCTGCGCTCAGGTCCAGAGTGCATGGTCCGGGGATCGTGGTCCGTGGTCTGTTTGATGCGCACACGCTCTGAAGGCGCCTGTGGTCAAGAGTGCGCGTGTTACTGTTGTGGCACCAGTGGTGGAGCTCGCAGCAAAGTTCAGTGCCTGAGTGTGGACATTAAAGTCGGGTGTACCAGAGAGTGTAATCGCACTCCCATCTTGTGCTTGAGCACTGTCTACTTGGGGTCTCCCAATCTCCCTGGCCTGTAGAGGGAAGAGGCTCTCCGGTGCCTAGGGTTGACCCCCCTGGCCCCCTAGTTGAAGAGCCTTGTCAGAGAACTTGGACGACGCCAAGCAACTTTGCAGCTCTCCCTGAGCTTGGAGCCTGGAATGTGGGTTATAGGGCTGACAAGGAAGGGGCTAAAACAAAGGTCGCTGGGGAAACTCCTTTGCGTAGATGCTAATGAGTCCTGGGTATCTGGTCTTAAAAAGGAAATGTAGCTTTGTCTCCGGACTGGGTGTGGGCCTGGGCCCAGCTGGACAGGGTGCCTCCTCCACTGGCTGAAGCTGGAGGTCCCTGAGGAAGAAGAGGTTGTTTCAAAGACACTGTAAGGCCGTTTGGTGTTTTGTACTTCCAGTGGCCACCAGGCATAAAGTGGAATTGCCGGAGGTCCACGGTCCAAGTATTTACAGGTCTGCAGGTTTCTACTGGGCAGGTCAGGCTTGAGAGGGCTGCTTCCAGCCTTGGAGCAGTGTTGAGTCGCCGTCTTTCTGTGAGGTGCCCCCTTAGGGGGCTCCTGGGAAGATAGAGGGCAGTTTTGCAGAATGACCAGGTAAAGGACAGGGATGACCTGGCTGACTGTGAGGTTTGGAACCTGCCCGATATGGGAGTCAAGAAACACAGCAGCTTTGGGGAAAGAGGATGACTTTTGTTTCCTTGCACTGGATTTGGCCTGACAGTATTCTCTGATATGTGGTTGAGAGAAGCAGGTGCTCTTCCATCTCCAGTTCAGGGATGTGGTCCTGGGATGCAAGGGGATCAGGTCAGGGCCTATTCCTGTTTATTTGACTTCTCCTGGATACAGGTGTAGGTCTAGGACAGACTTTGAAAATTTAGCTGCAAGTAAGAGGAGTGGGGTCATTTTGGTGCTCGGGTTGGTTATAGGGCTTCCCTGGGACAGGGCTTCTCCAAGACTGAGTCTCAGCCAAGACAAGCCCCAAGGACTCTGTGGAGCTGTACTGAGCCCTGTACCCTTGCTTTGTCCAGCAGGCCACAGCTGAAATGCCCCCAGGGAGCTGTCAAGGGTCTTTTGTCCTGCCCTGGCTGGCAGTTGGGGGCGGGCCACCCTCCTCGGCCTCTGGGAGGAACAGGCCCAGTGCCACCCACTGCTCTGGTCTCTGCGAGGAGTGGAGAGCAGAGGGAGCTGGGAGTAGTGTAGGAGTCCTGAGGCTTTCCCTTTTTTGACAAGCGTGAGAGTTTTCTT